AAAAGGAAAGGGCAAGGCAACGAACGTGTGACAAGTGGAAGAAGAAAGTAGCGCAGCATCATCATCTCAAATTGTGGCATTGGAACAAGCAATTGCTGCACTTCGTGGAATGAGTACCACCTCGACTACTCCACTGTCCAGCAAAGGCAAGGGCAAGGCAAAGGAAACAGATGTGGCATCAACGGCATCAGCATCTACGGTCAAGGACACCAATGCGAGAATCATCGAGATAGATGAGTTCTCGGAGGATTTTCAGTATGAAGTGTAGACGAGTCTGGTACTACACTTCAGGACGATTGTATTAGTACCATGAGAATGAATGTACCTAGCGACCATCTATATATTGCATCTGTGGGTTTTTCTAAACATTCGATCGAATTGCTGATAAGATTTGTATCACGGGAAATTCAGACAACGGCCTTAATGGATTCTGGGGCATTCTCTTGCTACATTAATCAGAGATTTGCTCAAAAGCACGGGTTTAAGATGATACCTCTAAACCGCAAAATAAGAATCCTCAATGCAGATGCCAGTTCCAACAAGGGCAGCACAATTACTCATCATGTAGTCACAAGCATCTTAATTGGGGGGCACCGATCAACCGAGAGTTTGCTCGTCACGAACCTCGGATGCATGTCAATGATCCTTGGCATGAAATTCCTACAAGAACATAACCTCCGAGTTGACTGGGAACATGGAGAGGTCACGTTCTCAAGATGCAGACATACGATGAAGCAACGAGTCAGAGTAAGCGAAGAAGAAGTCAACCTTCTGTCGCAACCTTGACTTGAGGATGAAGCAGTTCTTCCCGACGTACACAAGGATGATGGGTGGGATCAGGAAGACAACTTCATCAACTGGATAAACTTGCAAGACCAGGATCTTCGTAACATGGTGCACGACATCCTTGGCATAAGCAAGAAGGTGAAGGAGCATTTGGTAGAACAGCCGGCAGAAGAGACACAGGACAAAGAATATTGGTCCAAATTCGTCCCTCCAGAATTTCATCAATTTGGAGATGTGTTCGCAAAGAAAAGCTCAGAAAGGATGCCGACACGTAAGCCCTATGATCATGCAATAGATCTTGTCCCAGACGCGGCAACCCTGAGACCGGCAAAAGTAGACCCTATGTCTTTACGAGAGAAGAATTCGCTCGATGAATGGATTGATGGTGAGCTAGCTAAAGGCTACATTCAACCATCCAAATCCCCGTATGCCACACCAGTATTTTTCGTCAATAAGAAGGATGGCTCTCTTAGACTAGTCCAAGACTACAGGGCATTAAACAGCATCACCAAGAAGAACAAATTTCCACTCCCTCGAATCAACGATCTCATTGATGGACTCTCAAGGGCTAGTATATTCACTACACTAGACCTGAGATGGGGATACAACAATGTACGCCTTCACAAGGGAGATGAGGAAAAGGCAGCGTTCATTACCCATGAAGGGTTATTCGAACTGACTGTAATGTAGTTCAGATTCTGTAACGCCTTTAGCACTTTTCAGGCCATGATGAACGACGTCTTAGGTGATGTCATTCGCACTGGAAAAGTGGCAGTCTACATAGATGACATCATAATTTTTATGGATAACCAAGAAGAACACAACTGCCTAACTAAAGAAGTCTTACAACGACTCAGAGATAATGACCTATTCGTGAGACCAGAAAAGTGTCACTTTGCAACCACTTTTGTCAAGTTTCTCGGACTCATAATCTCAAAAGGGTCGATACAGATGGACTCCAAAAAGGTAGACGGCGTGCTCAAGTGGCCAGTGCCCACCAAGGTCAAGCAAATACAGGCATTCCTTGGTCTGGCAAATTTCTATCGAAGATTCATCAAGGACTTCGGCTCGATGACCTGATCCTTGACTCTATTAACACGTAAAGACGCTCAATGGAAATGGGAAGAATCTCAACAAAAGGCATTTGAGGCCCTCAAGACTGCCTTTACTTCCGCCCCAATTCTAGTGCTCCCCAATGCAACACGCCCCTTCCGATTAGAAACGGATGCCTCAGACTTCGCCACCGATGCAGTCCTGGAACAGTTGGGAGAAGACGAACTCTGGCACCCCATCGCATATTACTCTAAATCACTCAATAAACATAAGCGAAATTATGAGATCTACAACAAGGAGATGCTAGCCATTATTCTGGCACTGGAAGAATATTGACAGTACTTCAAAGGACATCCTCACCCAGTTGAGATACGGTCAGATCACCTCAATCTTACCTATTTCTGACAAGCTCAAACATTGACCAGACGACAAGCTCGCTGGTCACTTTACCTTACACGATTCAATTTCATTCTCTGTCACCACCCTGGAAAGACGATGATGCGTGCCGATCCTCTGTCCAGGAGGCCAGATCATGAGAAGGGGGTGAGCAATGACAATTCAGGGCAAGCTTTGCTTCGACCCGAATACTTTGCCATCCATGCGATCTCAGCCACTCATTCCTCCGAAGTTGACAATGCAAAACTTCTTGAAAGAGTGCAATCGGCACTACAAGATGACAAAATGACCAAAGGTTACCAGCACCTATTAAAAACTGGCAAGCGAGAGTTTGGAAAAGACCTCCAAGAGTGGAACTTCGAGCATGGATTGCTGCTCAGAAGAGGAAAGGTCTATGTCCCAAAAAAACTCTACACTATGGAATGAGCTGATCAAGCTGCACCACGACATCTCTCCGGCCAGACATCCCAGAAGATGGAAGACACAAGAGCTGATCAGCAGGAATTACTGGTGGCCAGGGCTCACCATTGATGTAAAGAAGTACGTTCAAGGCTGTATAACTTGTCAGAGAAACAAGACAAGCAAGCAGAAGCCTTATGGGCTGTTACAACCTAACCCAGTACCAGAAGGACCTTGGAAAATGGTCACATGTGACCTGATTACACAGTTACCACCAAGCCCAGACCATAGGGGAGAAAAGAAGACTGCCATCTTGGTAGTCGTCGACAGGTTCACCAAACATGCCCACTTCTACTCAGTGAATGACATGGTGACAGCATCTCAAGTAGCATCAACCTTCTACAATGAAGTGTTCAAACTCCATGGAATTCCCCGGCAGATCATATCCGATTGAGGCACACAGTTCACAGCCAAACTATTCCAGGAGTTCTGTCAGAAACTTCACATTAAGTCTACGATGTCTACAGCTTATCACCCTTAAACAGATAGACAGACGGAACAAGTCAATCAAATTCTGGAACAATATTTGCGCATGTACTGCAATTATCGACAAACTGATTAGGCCACATTATTGCCCACAGCAGAATTTGCATACAACAATCAAGCTTCAGAATCGACAGGTCTGTCCCCATTTTTTATCGAGCATGGTCGACACCCCCGAATGGCACCAGACGTACTGGAAGGAATACAACATCCATCCCTGGAACACTTATTCCATAACCGTGATCAAGCACAGGAACAGGCACGTGCCGCTCTGACATTAGCAGCAGAAAGAATGAAATGGTATTTCAATCTCAAAAAGCAGAACTTTCCTTTCAAAGTAGGAGACGAAGTGCTTATTCGAGGAAAAGATCTCCATGTAAAGGTCAAAAGCCAGAAACTTGCGACCCAGAACTATGGACCATTCAAGATCCTCGAAAAAATCGGAACTGTATCATTCATCATTCAAACTGCAATTACCAGCAGACATGAGGCTGCATCCGGTGTTTCATGCTTTCAAGCTCATAATGTTCCATCAAGACTCTATCCCTGGATGTGTACCTCCCCCTAATCCTCCAGTCATCATAGATGGAGAAGAGGAATGGGACGTGGAGGACATCCTGGATTCAAGGGTCAGGTACAACAAAACCCAGTATCTCGTTAAATGGTTAGACTACGACCACAGCGATAATACTCGGGAACCACTGAAAAACCTCACGAATGTCAAAGACAAAGTAGAGGAATTTCATAAGACACACCCAGATGCTCCAAGAGCCAAGCCGCGAATACGCAAAGCACACAAAATCGCACTGTCCGATCACCCTGATGAATTCATGATCTTTTCCGCACTCATCCAAATGTCCGAGCACTCTACAAGGGATCTCCAGAAGCTGTTGGGTGGGATGTCAAGTCCATACAAGACATAGACATTCCACCACACTTCAGAATGCTCATTGGACCGGGCTTGCGGTTGACCCCCCAAAGTGGACATACATTCGAGTGGCCCTCTGAAGTGGGCTAGCCCTCAAAGGGATTGATGTCGCAGCAGGGGTAATTGACCCAGATTACACAGGGGAAATCAAGGTGCTCCTCGTTAACATGACCAGCACACCATTCACGGTTAAGACAGGTGATCGTGTTGCACAACTTATATGCGAACGCTATGCCCCAGGGATCATTTCTGAGGTGGATAGTTCACCCGCAAAGTGAACCATACGAGGCACCAAAGGCTTTGGCTCATCGGGACGATGAACCTTGAGAAGGGGGTGATGTCACGGTTTTTACCTGACAAGTCACTATAGGAACAAATGCTATTAGAAGCATATTATTTTAATCATTTTACATCGCACAAGAGTCATGTGACCTAATGAGAGATAAGATAAAGGCATCTAGTCACATGACCTCAGATCTCTCTCGGCATTGTCACGTGACACCAAGCCCCTTGGCATTACATCATATGATGCCATAGTTATAATGCAATATTGCGTGCTCAGAGGGAGCTCCGTCTCCATGAGTTATTATTAGGCAGCCAATTAGGATAATTGGGACACATCGTACGATTGTAGCACTGACCAGTAGGATAGCGTGTGACTTGCTTAGGTAGTACTGTACAGTAGCACAACAATCATGTATATAAGGACCAGGTCTGATGAGGAGAGACTCCAGTCTTATTCTCCTTCGTCCACCACTACCATCACAGAGGGGTCTTACCAGACACTCTCAGTATGCTATACATTTGACTTCATTCTCACCTTTGTGATAGCGCCTCTCGCCTTGCCAGTAAGTCTTACTTTGCAAGCTGCGACTAGGCCTCATCAGTGGGCATGTCAAACTGCCACAGCCCATCGCTGTAGGCTTTTACCCAGGAGACCCTCAAGGGGACTCTTTGTTTGATTGTCTATCTTTGTCATCGACGTGCTGTGACACCGGCTAATACCTTCGGATGCCTGTACTCTATCGCAAAGCTCCTTTCTCGTGGCTGTCTTAAGCAATTGGAGCAGCAGCTGCTCATCCTTGTACCCTGAGACCTTGACCCAATGTTCCCATTCGGCTTCGAACTCTTTCCAAGGCTTAAACCGTTGCTGCAAGGTGCGCAGCATCCGTTGACCTTCCAACTCCGGGTTCGTGGGATAATACATTTTCTTGAAATCCGCGATGAAGTCCTGGAGTGTGGCATAGACCGAGACGCCCCCCATCATTCTTTCCAATAGGGAGGCCTTCCAATGGTCTATTTGTGATCCTCGAATGTAAGACAAGGCCCATCGAATCTTACCCTGCTTGTCTTCGAATTCGCTGGATTTCATGACAATGTAGTTCATTACATCGACAAGCCATGCCTTTGCCTTGGTTTTAGTACCATCAAATGCCTCCAGAAGGTTGACCTTTGACCCTCAGAACGATTTTCTATGTACCTTGTCCGAGGATGCCAGGGCAGGAGCTGCAGAGTGGCAGTCCCTATCTGGTGGCAGAACCGGTTGCTCTGGTGGGAACGCGTAGTGTGCCCCTGCCAACTCGTCCTCTTGGTCTCCCTCGTAGGATTCTGCTGGAGAAATTGGGGGCATCTGCACCCTACCGGACGGCTGCTCAGGGTTTGCCTGGTGTGCCGGTTTGGGTTCACTAGGGCCGGCAGATCTGCTTACTCCTGCTACCCAATCCCGAATATCCCGCTGAAGGGGATCCTGTCTCTTTTTGCCTTTATCGACCAGTTTTTTGGGTGACTGGATGGGAGAAGGCGGCAGCCGTGCTAGGGCTTCCAGATTTGTGATTCGAGCTTTCTGGGTCTCATTGATACCTTCGAGGCCCTTCACTCTCTTTTCACTGAACTTGAGCGCCTTGGTCATGGCTTCAAGCTCTGTCCATAGCTAATGGATCTGGTTGTCCTGCTCTATAGCATTCTATGCTGCAGTGTTATTAAGTTCCGCATTTTTCCTCATGAGGCGGTCTCAGGTTGCTTCCATGGTTAGGCGTGCTTCTCGTGCCTCTGTTACCTCCCTTCGTGCATTGTCGAGCCGTTCGCATAAGCGATTGTAGTCAGCTTGGAGGTGTTCATAAGTGCGCCGCATATCCATGGGTTGTGTCCAGAATCCAGGTGTTTCTTCAGTTGGAGGGGGGAGGCCAGGTCGTGCCAGATAGTAGCTCTGCCTATTATTGGGGAGCCTGTAATGCTCATACCCTGGTGGGGTTCCTGAGGTGTGGCTTGACCAAACATAGTCCTGGCCCCTTGCTGCCCCTCCATGCCTTGCCACCACATCTACCGGCTGAGTTTGATACTGGGCTCAATCTTCTTCGGAGTGATCTCGGGCCCAGATGTCATACTCCCATTGGTGGAAGCGCCTTCCTGTCCTTTGTTCATTTGGGTACAGGGTGGCAAACTCTTCCACTAGTCTCGCTGATGGCTCCCTCCTCCTGGGAAGGGCTTCCAGCATGGCTGGCATCATAAAGTACTGGGGGGTGAGAGCAATGAGATTGGTGTCATTGAAGGAACTTGGAGTGGGTGCCCTGGATCCTGGATCTTCGGAGTTCAGGCATCCTTCCATGGAATGTTCAGATTGTGCGGCCATCTTCAGTGATGTTACCAGGTCGAGGTATTGGTGACCTGTTCAGAAAGGTTCTTCTTCGTCGCTAGAGGAGATACCGTACTCTTCGTCGAATAGGAGATGGTACAACTCCTGGTCGTCTTCTACCGATTCGAGTTGTCTTGGAGCTTCCCGGACTATATGATGTGGTTGGTATTCGAGCCTTTCGTAGTAGTCAATGATGACTTGATATCGGTATAGGATAAACCGAGCTTGTGTGACGTAGAGATGGTAGATGAAATCTGCCCAAAATATGACGCTGATATGTTCGTAGGTTTGATCCCACTCTACCGGTCCTGGAGCTACAGTGTATATGTCTGTGTATCCTACTAGCGAGAACCTTTGCACTCGATGCTGGGACCTACTCGTGACTTTGGTGAGTTGTTCTTCACCAGGGCCTTGTAATGACCCAGATGCAGCTTTAGAGTCCTGCTACTCCTAGTAGGTCTAGTTACTACGGAGTCCTGAGTGACGTGGTTCACAGTCGCAGAGGGGTCTTTGTGGTCTTTGATTATTTCACCACCAGTGTCCAACTACCTCTGAAGGGATATAACCTTGGTCCACCTGCCGTTCCAGCAGAGCTTTCCGAGAGTTCGTCCCACGTCAAATGACTATTTGTCTATGTATGTATTGGTAACTAAACCTCTAAGAGGTCAGAACTGCACAGGGTTTGAATATGCGTCTGGTGCCACTTTAGCACTGAGCAAGTAGGTTTAGGCCCTCTCTACTTGAGGTTTCGCAGGTCACGCTGGAGCGGTCCAGAAGTGTTGCTGATTCACAGCTTCCTGTAGTGGGTTTCTTTCAAAGGTGTCCCTGACCTCCTGCAAGTTCTCTCTTGTCTGCAGTTGTTACTACTGATCCAGATGCGCTGTCGTAAGCAGACCGCACCCTACCGTAGTTAGATAGTTAGACTATCCAGATGCATGGCAGCTTGTCTCAGGATATTTTATATGGACGAGCAGTCCCGTGCTTCAGAGGTCCACTGGTGCACTTTAGCTGTGGTGAATCCTCTATAGCGGTACCCTTTTAAGGAGTACTGCATCCCTTTCCCCTAGTAGGTTCTGTCATCATCAGGCTCTCTGGCCCTTCTTAACAGCCCTATTGGTTTTAACCACTAGGTCGACTAGAAAGTCCCCTTATGCCTGGGGTCACAGCAAGGTTTGGGACAGTAGTATGTCACCCACTTTCGCAGGAGGCTGGTTTAGGGTCTATGTATCCTGACTAACAGTCAGCGTATTCGCTTCACCGAAGAGGTTCAGCAGGGTGCAGCTAAGCCCGAAGAAAGTGTGAAGAGGCTCTGGGCGAGCACAATGAGGTGGAGTTGATCGACAGAGGTATACAGTCTGAGGCATCGACCGGTGCCCACAGACTAGAGAGAGTAGTTTCGAGTTATGTGAAGGATCTCAGGAACTCCTGGATCTGCCCTCGCCTAACCCATCAGGGTTCTCTGGTCTGAGTAGAGGAGTAAAGACCAACTCGAAACTGAGGGGTAGGCCTCAGTTCGAGCCAGTATATATACGAGTGGGGTAAGACTCCTGGTACTGGGTGTAGGACCCTGCATACCCTAGATTCACACTAATACATCATTATGGCGTGCTATGGCGTGCTCAGGCCTAGTGGAGTCCGTCTAAGTCTAGGAGTGTCTATGGAGTCTGTCACAAAGCACCAAAGCACTTAACCCAATTGAGGGCAAGTCTGCTTTTGTGACCTGCACAAATGATCCCACATAAAAAGCCTGCCACAAGGGCTAGGCTGAGGATGCGCGCAGTGGTATGCAGTCTGAAAATGGGGCTCAAAGGGCCCTTAGCCTTATGCTCACAACTAGGGGGTGAATTGGCTTGTTAGGCCGCATGCAATAGAATAATAAATCTAAGGTTCTCCCTTAGATCCTCATAGGCTTATATACATGTAGGGCAGGGCCCCTGGCACTGTGCTACTGTGAGACCTCAGATACCTACATGTAAATATATTGCCAGAACCGGTAATGGTTCTGGACTTCGTCATAGCAACTATCTACAATGGCCGTGGATACGCCGAGGTAATCCTATCTAATCCAATGAGATAAATGCCTGTAAGTGGGCCCACTGTTGAGGGGCCAATGGGTGATGGCCAACAGAGCACATCACAACGGTTGCAACATCAGATGAGAGGATCTGTCCAAACTCAGAACAATAAGTGTGACGATCAGTCTTTATCTGGATAGGGTTGTGAGAAGATCTAGCCTATCCTGTACCTGGCTATACTATATGCCAGTTGGTAGGGGGATCCTCTGTTGTGGTATCTGCCTATTGGTTTAGGCAGCAAAGTGGTGCCACTATCTTGAGTGGCGAATTGGGTGCTTGCTAGCTTGATGGTCCAATGGGTTCCTTTCTGGGCAAGTGGCCTGGTGCCACGTGACCAACGCCTGACAACTTCCGAATAGGGCAAGTGGCCAGTGTCACGTGACTGGGTGGCTGAATCATGGGCGCTTGGTGATCATGTGGTAGACACAGTCATGTCCGTGATGTATGTGGTGGCATTGTGCTGTTTGTCCAAGTATCCATGTTGCGAGACCAATATGAAGGTTAGCGTCTGAATAACCACTCAAATGAGGACTTTAATGGTGCAAAAAGAAAGGTGCCACTTAATACTGTGACACTACCCCCACTTCAAGGTTCAGACTCCGGATGAACTGAATAAATGCTATGGTAAATAGTACCCTCGCTTCAGGTTCTGACTTCCAGGGTGGAATGGCAGGGTGTGTTGTGTGAATGGCATCTAAGACTTTTTGCTAGCAGCAAAAAGGGGTGATGCAGTTTAATGACTTGCTCAGGTAAATGGTGCACTTGTGGGGCTAACAATTCTTGGTCCTAGATGTCTGATGTCACAGACAGCACTATTGGCTGCTGTTGCCCAAGATAGTGTGCAAAAGGGCTTGCAGTTTAAAGACATGCACTTGGTCATTCATGGTGCTCAAAGCTGCCAAAATGTGAACAGTTTAATGATGTGTCAAGGTCGTTCAAAATGCATGATTTGTAAAAAAAGAGACATTTAAGGCCCTGCCACGGCCATTCAGTATCACTCGGGATACTGGTTCCAATCGAGGGCTTCACTGGTTATCGAACGTGGTTGTCAGTTGTAATCGTCCACTTGCTTGCCCCCATGCTGCTTGCCACTACGCCATGGGGGCGGTGAAGTATCAGGTTTGAATCTTGACCAGTATGTGTTCTTTATTACATAATCTATGCTGATGTAATCATGTGGCGTTGGAAGGTGGCGTGATGTCTCTAGTCACATGTCTGAGTATGATGTCATTTAATTGATTGGATCGATCGTGATCGTGGTTGATCTGTGATTTGAGTTGAGATAGACTTTCTGATCGATCGTGACCATAAATGACATCATTATGTTGACGCTCATAGCTGCCATAGTGGCGCAGTTTTGGTTGACTTGCCCAGGTCCATGGTGGCACTCAAAGCTGCCAAATAATAGGATGCCCTTGGTCAGAGAGCTGTTCCAAAGATTGTGTCTTGTACCCAAAAGGTTGCCTATGTCTTTTCAGGATTTTATATAGAATAGCTGCCATGTTTGCATTGTTGTATGCAAGTAGATGTGTTCCCCAACGCTGTTCATACTTGTTGGCAATGATCTCTCGATTGCCCTTTAGGTTGGCATGCTATGTAGGCAAAAGTTGAAGTCTGGAAGGTTTGAAAATGTGATCCTTTGATGCTGCTTGGATCATCCTTGACTTGCTCACGCTCGTCTTCGGACATGTGATCCTAATTGCTTCATGGATCCTTTCGACTCTTCGAATAGGACATGCGCTCGGTACTCGCTATATATCTTTGAGTGCTGCACTTCTTATGCGCACGTCTTCAGATAAGCTCATACATACTCGCTGTATCCTACATTACCTCCCCCTTGCCAGGTTCCTCCCAGAACCGACGCGGCATGAGCGAGTTAAAACAAGACTGGGGGAGCACAAAAGTAAGGGAGGGTGGGTGGGAGAAAAAGCCTTATAACTTTTGGGGAAAAGGTGGTTTAGGCATCCCATAGCAAATAAATTACTCATTGTTGCGCAATATGTAGTAATTCTGAGACTGCTTCTGGGTAAAAGGGTTCCCAATATCCCATTGTGTGTGCCAAAATGACTCCCTAAAAATTGGATTATCTATTGTGGACTGCTAAGTAAAGATCTATTTCCACCAGCAGTTTACAGTCAAAGACTGCCGTGCTCTTGGAGATCTTATATGTGGACAATCACTGTGTCGATTCGGAGTAGCATGTCTTTAGATGTCCGGAATATTTTATTTATATATTTATAGGTGACCAATCCTATACAAATGATATATAAATGATAGGTAATAGTTTAATGTCATTGCGGACGCAAGGTGTTTTATAAGCGATAACTCGTGGTATTTTCACAAATAAGGGGCGATAACTCGTGGTATTTTCGCAAATATTGCCCATATTTTGAAAGCAATGTTGGTGGGGCTGCACAAGTATCCAAGATCAAATGTTGCTGCAGCGCTGTCCTGGTGAGGGAGCGGCTTACGTGAAGGTGCCTGCTACCAAGTCTTGAGGTAGGCTGACAGCGGTAGAGGTGATAATGGAGTATGATTGTCAAAAAAGGTGCGCTCCACACCTGAGTTTCTCTGGGCTGAAAATGTACAAGCGAATAATTCTAGATATTCTTCGCTTGACTAAAAATTAAACAGTTTTATTTAAAGGTGATCATGTTTAGGATCAAAAAATTACACCAGCAGCAGGAAGCTGGGGGCATGCATGGAGATTCATTATAATGTCACAAAGCACCAAAGCACTTAACCCAATTAAGGGCAAGTCTGCTTTTGTGACCTGCACAAATGATCCCACATAAAAAGCCTGCCACAAGGGCTAGGCTGAGGATGCGCGCAGTGGTATGCAGTCTGAAAAAGGGGCTCAAAGGGCCCTTAGCCTTATGCTCACAACTAGGAGGTGAATTGGCTTGTTAGGCCACATGCAATAGAATAATAAATCTAAGATCCTCCCTTAGATCCTCATAGGCTTATATACATGTAGGGCAGGGCCCCTGGCACTATGCTACTGTGAGACCTCAGATACCTACATGTAAATATATTGCCAGAACCGGTAATGGTTCTGGACTTCGTCATAGCAACTATCTACAATGGCCGTGGATACGCCGAGGTAATCCTATCTAATCCAATGAGATAAATGCCTGTAAGTGGGCCCACTGTTGAGGGGCCAATGGGTGATGGCCAACAGAGCACATCACAACGGTTGCAACATCAGATGAGAGGATCTGTCCAAACTCAGAACAATAAGTGTGACGATCAGTCTTTATCTGGATAGGGTTGTGAGAAGATCTAGCCTATCCTGTACCTGGCTATACTATATGCCAGTTGGTAGGGGGATCCTCTGTTGTGGTATCTGCCTATTGGTTTAGGCAGCAAAGTGGTGCCACTATCTTGAGTGGCGAATTAGGTGCTTGCTAGCTTGATGGTCCAATGGGTTCCTTTCTGGGCAAGTGGCCTGGTGTCACGTGACCAACGCCTGACAACTTCCGAATAGGGCAAGTGGCCAGTGTCACGTGACTGGGTGGCTGAATCATGGGCGCTTGGTGGTCATGTGGTAGACACAGTCATGTCCGTGATGTATGTGGTGGCATTGTGCTGTTTGTCCAAGTATCCACGTTGCGAGACCAATATGAAGGTTGGCGTCTGAATAACCACTCAAATGAGGACTTTAATGGTGCAAAAAGAAAGGTGCCACTTAATACTGTGACAGAGTCCAGGCCTATGATGTCACTATGATGTAGGGTCACGTGACTGGTACATGTCCGAGGGGTGTTCGAGTGGCATGGGTATACTAAGATATACACGTGGAGGCGTAGTGGTACATTCTATATATGGTATATGAGTGGATCAATAATGGTCCGTGGGCGCTTTAGACTTGTGGCGCGGAAAAACCATGACATACGGTTTATCCCATGCATGTAACAGACCACTTAGTCATCTGTGCTTGCTGACTTTGTACAGTTTATCTTATGCAATGTTCAATCAGTCCTTTATACACTGAAACATTTTAAGGCTGCTGTACAAGCATGTTTCACTTTCACCTCAAAAAAAGGATCTATAATTATCAACAAGATCATGAAGGATATTCAGAGCAAACAAATGAGAGCTGTGGTGTACAATAATAAAAGAGGTCAAGACGTATGCACATCTCTATACACTCATCACACATAGTCACGCTCGCGTCACCTGATAGCGCGCACGCCTACTCTGAAGAGGCGACGAGCGCCGGTTCCAAATGACCATTACTTACAGTGCGTAAGTCGTAATGCATGTCTCGGGGATCCACGTTCGACCCCAGGCATCCCCCCCCTGCGACACTGAATGGTGCCAGTAAACATGTATCGTTCACTGCGTGTAGCTACCGATCAAGCCGAAGCAGTCCTCAACAAATCTCAACCGCACCCGAACACGCCTCGGCTGAAGTGAATCACCTAAGGGCTGTAGCAGCAGGGGATGCTGCTCTGATCTTTCAGACGGTATTAGCTATGCGGTGGGTGACTCACTGGGTTGAAACGTACCCCTGTTGAGTGGCCGGGGATGTTTCCGGGCAACGAAAATTGTTATTGGACGAGAGGAAGTTCATATGCCCTTGTAAGCAGTGGCATGACCCAACATTCATGTAGCTGACCGAGTTCATGCAGTGTAGTCAAACATAATCTCAGGGTCAGCAACTCCTGAACGCTCATACATGACTATAGTCAAGGATGATATACCACGGTGCTCGGTGATCGCTCGCAAAGGACTATTTGCAAAAGACCTCAACATAATGGACCTCGATAATAAGCTACCGGCCTTGAGCGAGATACGAAGATGAGAGTTGGTGACTCTTGGGGAAAAAACTGAAGCAAAGTCTGACACAATCCATCCAGCGTCTTCCGAGATCCAGGATTTACGACTTCCTCTGGACGAAGGCTACTTAATACCATCGTGATGAACTGGTATCGGGCGGATACTGGCTGCTCAACATGCCTGCATAATTAGTAACAAGATGCCGGTCATCCTTCGGTGATTGATGCGAACAATCGTCCAACGGCGAGCCAAAAACAGCGGCTAAGACAGCGAACGTGCAGCCGCCAATGATGATCTCGTAGTATTCTCGTTGGCGGCTGGTGGCACGATGCGGTTGCGTCATGATGAAAGTCGAGCTGATTGCTGGTAGTCTGGATGCGCGAAGTCTGGTCTGGCCTGATCTTGCCCAGTCTTGCCCTCGCGCCGAACCGTCTCGGCCTCGCAACAACCGCGCATTGCCCGTGCTGGCGCACGACAGCACACCTCCCGCGCACTTCCGCACACGCTGAGTTGCGCCGCTCAGCAAATGTACACGACTGGTGATACTGTACGGATTCTCCACGCAAAGAAAGGACGTTTATTAGAGCTGTACCTGAATACAGAACAGTTGGTAGGAATGCGAGTACAATTCTAGTGCTCATGCAGCGTGAGAGGCTCCTGGGCCTGGTAGTCCAGCTTGTAGACTGCAAATACCTTCAATAAGATGAATGCATTTTAGAAGCTTGTGCTTACCAGAGCCGCACTCCGAGCAGCGCCTGTTCTTCGTGGTAGTGAGGTTCATCCAAACCAAATTATGAGAGTCCGCGGGAGAACCGGTGCAGCCGACGATGCGCTCAGGGGCCTAACGGTATAGCAGACAGCGGAGGCAGTCAACGACCATGCAGACATGAGTAGCGAGCGCGACAAAACGCGTCGTGGAACGCGCTACGCAGCGGATTATGACGTACCCATGAGATGACTTTGATGGGGTCGGCGAGCGTGCCAATCCTGCTCGAATCCAGGGGCTTCAGGTCGAACACCTCAATACCCTCCTTATCTCCGAGCACCTGAATGCGCTCAAGACCAGTCGCTTGTTCCTCATCGGTGGCGACCTCTCCGGGCTTCGCGCCAGGGCCGAAAAGCTCAGGGACTGCGCCGCCCGAAAGGCGAGCAGGAGTGGTGGAAATGGCCCGTGCAGCCACGGAGGACGTCCTCAAAGCAGAGCGGGCGCTGAGTGCAGCAGTGCGGATGGCAGCGTGAAACATGTTTTGCGGAGGAGGACGACTAATAGTACGCTGTTGTGCTAAGTCTTTTGAGCGGGACTCTACGGAAGATACGGTGTGATGCGTAGTGTGACAGTCTCGTGATGATATCTGTCACAGGCTGGAGTTGTGTCACCCGAAAGGGAAAGTGTCCTGGAATCGAAGCAGGCAGCTTATACCATGTTGAAATGTCAAGCTCAGCGACATGCAGTTCGTCCACCGCCGACGCTCTTCTCTCATCAAGTTCTTTTACCTTGCCTGACCCTCTCAGTGTAGTCCTGGTCACTGGTGACCGCACCATTCACTACTCAATCTTCTTACGAACGTTAGATCGTCTACTTCGTCACAGCCTGCATTCAACTTGTTGGCAGTGAGACACTTATTATGCGGACCAGTAGCACGCTCGCCTCGGATCGACGAAGATACCCCGAGCATCTGCATGCGACCCCGCTTCCAATCATGGACCGCTCACCCTCCCAACTATCTGCTGTTTCCAGCGCGGAATCACACTCATCTACGACTGAACTGGTATCCAAACACAAAGACAAACAGTGGAAGCGGATGTCCTTGGGCGAAAAGTTCTTATCATGGGCTTCTCGAGCGGAGAACGCGCCTGATCCGGAAGCAAACGAACTGGATCTGCCGACTGAAGAAACTAATGGCTGCGACGTCAAGAAGAAACGCTTGAAAATGTGGCATGGTTGGAGAATCATAGTTCTCGGTTCATGTATGCTTTTCTGCGTTGAGTTTCTAAAGAAGTCTTCGTTTATTCCGTTGAACCCAGGGATGAACGTATTACTGTTGCTCATTCCTGTCACAGTGAGTGACTTCGTGGTCCAGGAAGAGCACAACATCATCTCGCATTCTAGTGGCTCCTCAAGTTAGCAACGGCTAATTCTGATACCTTGGTCTTTACGGGTACGTGTGATTGAGCTAATCAAAGCCCGCGGAAGACTTACCGAAAATCGCAGCCTCAATGCTTGGCATGATACCCCTCGTGAGGGTACGCATTTCGAGCTCGAGAAGCTACCCGAATAACGATGTGTTGTGTAGTTGCACGATCTAGCGATTAGCGTGTTGTCCAGGCGTATCGGGGGGTCCAAAGCTGGGCTCCTGAATGCGAGTTGGGTGCGTAAGTCCTGTTTCTATCTCCTCAATCGACCTGACAAAGCCCTCGCAGAGTAATATGTAAGTGCTCAGGCTGCTATAGATTTGGTGCTATAGGTGACTCAGATTGGGCGTGCTACCAGCGTGGAAGTTGTCGTAGCCGTAAGGATCCCCATTAATTACAATGTACGAAGCTTACGCGTCTCTGAGCAGGTTACTGCCCTTCGTAAATGCGAACTGCGTGTAGTGCAGTCATCCCGTACGTTCCTCCAAACTTGCATCTTCCGGCCCGTGATGACGAATTTCTCCAGTTATCGGCTCCATGTTAAGCAAGTCCTGTGAGCGCATTTTGTAGCATCACCCTCGTAACAAATTTTGTATGACCTTGTTTGTCTGGCAGTGTTGATTCTGGGCATGTGTTTCTTCGCCGGAGGCCTGCGGTTCTCTCATCAAGATTACGACACGAGTAGGGCGTCTGTATGTTTTGCGCTCAGCATCTTTGCTCAACTTTAGCAGCTGCTACCCAGATTCATTCATCACTACTTAGTATCAGCGTTGGTGCTGTCTGTCTCCCGGCGGCATTCCATTTTGCACTTTCCAACAGCGCTGAGGATGCCGCAGAAGCGGGGACGACACTAGCGACACAGAAAGAATATCTGCTGAAGATGAGCCACAGCGTGAGTGTCCGCATATATTTACGTCCGTACTTATCTCAGTCCGCCGATTGCATTGCAGGTGTCTATACTTCTCCTCTTCAGTTACGTCAATTATGAACTAATCGAAGCGACTGATACTGAGTTATCATTCCCTGCACAGTATACGTATCCTACCTGCTGTTCCAGCTCTGGTCCCATACGCACCTATATAAGGATAGCAACAAGCCGAGCGACAAGCTACCAGTAGCTGTTTCTATGCGTTCATTCACGGATCGCGTCAGACAAATCAGCAACACGGCCAAAGGACGACATGCGTATTCCCGTGCGAATTCCTCAACTTCATTGCAGTCCTGCGGATCCGCCCCAGAGAAAGTTCGCTTGCGGAAGGACAAGGCGAGTCCCGTCGAGGAGGCTCCGGAGACCTCTTTCGAATGGTCAAATGAGGCGCGCGAGCCGTCGGTGTCTCCTCCCAAAACAAGTCTCGGGTATGATACACAGCGCGAACGGACGGCTTTCCTGGTATCACCCAGCACAACTTCGCAAGTCACCTTCAAGGCAAACGAGTACCGAACTACTGCTCGCGGTGACCCTAGTATAAGGCTAGTGCAAGAACTGGAGCGTGAGCGCGGTCGCTCATCCAGCGAGCAGTCGCACCGGCACCCGCGGAGATTCTCAAGTTCTTCCGACGAGAGAAGAAGGTTCAGCGAGAGCGGACGAACGACGCCTGTCAGTGAGGTTGTTTCGGGATACCTTAACAAACGAGGCGAGGTTGTACGCTTGGCTAAGGATGACGATGTGACGACGAAAGCTCGGTGGGTCAATGTCGACGTTGTGGAGGTCCGTGGCAAGGACGAACCAGTCGATGTCGAGAACCGCGAAGACTCCAGAAAAGCATCAGAGGAGGAGCCCGAGCTGAGCTGGACGATGATCTTGATGCTGCTGACCGTTGTTTCCGTCGTGAGCTTCTTTGCATCCACACATGACCAGGCAACGCGGTATTGACCAATTTACTAGCTTGTTACCATCAATGCCGAATGGCTGGTCGATTCGATGGACAGCCTGTCTCCGACTCTTAGCAAAGAATGGATCGGATTGATTTTGTTGCCCATCGTGAACTCGATACCTGGTGAATACTTATCGAGAGTTCGACTATCGACTGGCCGTATCTCATGACGCTTTCCTGCAGAATGCGTTACAGCTGTCACTGTCTCCGTCAGGGACCAATTGACATTGAGTGTCAGCGTTGCGGTCGGCTCAACTATCGTCAGTGCATTTTATTTTCATTGCATTTAACACTCGTGCTCTTGTGCTGACTTCATCACAGCAAACCTCTCTTTTCGTCATTCCGTTCATGGTCATCCTGGGCTGGATCCTTGACAAGCCGCTCGCTCTGCTCTTTGATCCCTTCGAGACTGTGGTAAGTACCACCGCATCACATCGTTAGCGGTTCTTGATAAGACGTCCTTCCATAGGTGTTGTATATATCGAGTACGCCACATTGTATATACCCACTCGTTCTACTGTTTGAGAGACGTTTTTATTTTTAGTGCAGATCCTGAGTTACGTCGTCGCGGATGGCAAGTCGAATTGGCTTGAAGGAGTGATCCTTATTTGTGAGTGTCATTTCTCGAACAGACATACTACGCACATGGGCTGATGTCTTCCCTAGGCCTCTATCTAGTCATAGCTGTCACGTTTTGGTTCTATCCAGGTAATTCGTTTTCACCATTTGTTCATAGACGATGTCCGTCTGATTGTGTGGCAGGTTCTACATTCTCGAGCAATCTTGCCGTGTGCGTCGACACGGTGAAGCCTGCATAGTTTCATGGTTCATTTGTATTAAGCTTACCCTTGGTTGGCTGCTCATCACGGTCCTCAGCATACTATACCCACGCGTACAGTCTCCATAGAGTATCTCATTATCATGATCAAGAACAACCTATCCCTTCACATTCTCCGTTTGATTTGTAGTTATACCTATCTGTAGCCATTAGATCGTCTATTGACTTATACACATTCAAGTTTGTCGTTCGTCGTTACAGGATCAGGAGGCCAACGCCGGCAGTTTCCGATTCAACGTTCCAAACGCCACTCGGGTCCTGGGAGTGGACGCTGCCTTAACTCGCACCTCGTCCTCGTCCACTGCACGCTTCCGGATATCCTCTTTTGATCTGTGCTTGTATCTCCGTAGAAACTGCCACTGTTGTGAATATGCGTTCAACGGTAGTACGCCTCGCAGAATCCATTTCGAAGAGACCCTTGAATCTGCGAGAAACTAGCGCTACACTCCTCCCTCCGATACCGTAAGGCTGGTCAAGTTTGCTCCTTGCCAACATCACATAAACTCAGGTGACGTCTCAAAGACTCTACCGTCAAATTCTACGAGCCCACCGCTCCCTTCCACATGAGATGCGCTCGCTCGGAGATGACTACGTGAAAGCAGGTACGCTCATTCAACTACTGAATGGAATATGGACGTTGGACTCATGCTTCCCGATGGATGCCGCTCCTTTATGCAATTGCAGAGTTCCGCCGACATCAGAATATCACTAATAAAGTGCATATCATTGGGTTCCTCTCGCAGTGGAAGATGTACTTGGACGAGCTACCAGCAGGTCCAAACGCAAAGAGCTTTTCTGGCAAGAAGCTAGATCCTACAGTATTAGAGAAGGTGATACTTTCACTCGCATCTCTGATGTGATTCGGCGCTGATGCATGGGCAATCAGATGTCTGCCGAACAGCTCGGTCAATTGTATGAGCTGATGAATGTCACTAAAAAGGTGTGGAAACCCGCGGGCTCTGAAGGGGAATCAAGTTATCCGCACTCCTCGTAACAGCCCAATTAATTATACATCGGGGTGGGTCATATATCTCGACTATAGTATGCTCAAGATGTTGAACATTGCGAGCGATGTAGCGCACGTAGTGATAGATAACATCATGCATTCTTGCACCAGAAGCAGCTCAATTGCCGCCCTCTCGTCTGCTGTTGATCCTTTCATACAAGAGACCTGTCTCCCTCAGTGGGTACAATGTCTGCAATCTGGCTCTCACTACATATACGCACGCTACTTACTACGGTCTATCCACCGTAAGCGAGCATTTATCCTCGTGGATGCGCCATGTTCAACCTCCGCTCGGTATTCCTGTTCGAGCGCGTATTTTGAGTTCGTAGTAAGATACTTCGAGAACCATGATTTAACGAATGCAGGTCCACGCATAACGGAGTGTGTGCCAAGTTATTCACGTGGCGGCGAGCGCTTCCGCATGCGTTACCAGCCTTAAAAGCGGTGAGACGAATCGCATGACATGATACAGTTCCTCTCATCTCTTGCCTCCTCTGTTCCACGCAACTTGCTTGCCCAGAACATATCATGTCCGCGCAACCTCTCGTGAGTCTAGCAGAGTGCTTGGAGCGTCTGCATGTTTCACTCTGATGACGTCATTGGTTACAGAAAGTGAATGCGACGAGCGAGCCATATGCGGATCTTCCTCCGATCTGTGCAGCCCTGTTTGAAGCGAAGGCAAAGAAAGGTACGGAAGACATGGATGAATTGTTGGAGGTTTCGAACTCGCCTTTGCAGGCCTGACGTTCGACGAGATTGCCAAAGCCATTGGAAGAGACGAAGTGTGGGTAGCCGCGGCGTTCTATGGCCAGGTAGGTGCAGACGATCTGTTCCCTTAGCCAGACCTCATCGCAACGTTGTCTAGGCGAAGCTCTCGGCTGAAGAGTTGACTGCACTGTCAGGTGTCCTCGAGATCCCACAGGGCAATTTGCAGGCAGAGCTTGGAGAGAACTGGTGGCCCCACCGAGGACTCGGGCCGATGCCTCCTACTGACCCTGTGCTATATCGGTTGTATGAGGTATGGTCACTCGTTGCAGACGTCTGCATTGTGAGTGGATACTGAGAACTGAGCATTGACAGGGAGTGCTGGTGTATGGGAATGCAATCAAGGTACGGTCACACAGACAATGCCGAGTAGAGTCCTGACCGGTATTTTCCCGCAACGAACAGGCCATCATACACGAAAAGGTGCGTTTCATCATTTGGTCTCGCGCAACTATGACCAAGTGCCATTGCAGTTTGGTGACGGCATCATGTCCATGATCGATTGCAAAGTCAATATTGCTCGCAAGCCAGATCCCAAGGGGGACAGAGTCGTCTTGACATTCGAGTATGTCCTACTTCAACAATCTCTGGATCTAACTCAATCTGCTTCCTCCCTGTTAGTGGTAAGTTCTTGCCGTACGCGAAGTGGTGATTGTGTGGAAGAGAATGTAGACCATGTATCTAAATCAATCAGAACATGATACTGCGCACACTTCTAGTAAACGCCAGGCCTTCCAAGCAGCATATACATATGGCAATGAGAAGCTTTCTGTGCGACAGAACCCTAAATGAATGATATATCATAGAGATATCAGCAGAAGCGCATGCACACAGGATTTCCAATTGCCGCAGTCTTCTCATACGACCTGAATCGCGAAGCCCATTGCCCTCTTTCCCACTGGACTTTCGATGTCCTCCGGTCTGCCCACGCCAGCGTAGTCGATCTCGCCCTTGCCCGGAGGGAAGTCAGGGGGCGGAAGGCCCTGCACGAAACGCTCCTTCTGTCTTTCGACGTACGCAGCATTCTGCGGGGTAAGGGGGACAGCCGGGATGTACATGACTGGAAAGGAGTTGAGCACTCGATAAGATCGACATACCTGAGGGGATGAAAGCAATGCTCACCAGCGGAATCACCGTTACCAATGTGCTCCTTCTCAACGGCATGGACAACGTCCTATAATCGGTTACTGTCAGTCTTTTTGCCCCTGTATAACACGTGAACTGCATCTCACGCAATGCCAGAAGACCATGTCGCCAGGGCAAACCTTAGGCACAGATACCATTGTCTCGTCGAGCTTCATGTGTGGATGTGTCTTCGCGTTCGGCCAGGGTCCGCGGAACCCAGATCCCGCCGAGTAGACCCCAGGGAAGTCAGAAGACGAAATGTCTACTCGGAAACAACTCAGCCATTGCACATTAAATATTACATGGCCTGGACGCACCATACTCCCAGTTCTTGGGATCGAGAGCGTTTTCAGTCCCCGGAATTTGCCTGAAGAATGGACGCAAGATCGTATATGCGTTGGAAAGATACACGTTCGGGAAGACCTGCAGCGTTCCTTCACGGGGAGCGGTCTCGCTAAACCAATGTGAGCAGGCTGAACTGAGTTACAATCGTGCAAGCATACCTCACAGCGAGCCAGCCTTGGTATGTACGGAATACCGTAGACTGAGAAGGATGGCGAGCTGCAGTGAGAGCAAGGGAGTTGCGGAAAACGTACCTGTCCGACGCGACCGTACATCGACGTGCGAGCATTAATACGGTTCTCGAGGTCGTACGGGTCGTGGCTGCGCCAGTCGCCGCTCAGCAGCTCTGCGAAACAGTTACGAAAGGTAGGATCCTCCCATCGCTCAATTCCTCCACCTGAGATTGAGATATGACCCATTAAATTGCACCATACGCATTCTGCATATAGACTTGCCATCGACGTGAGGAGGGTGGGCGTCCCACTGCACACCCGGATGACGGATACGGAACCGGTCTGCATAGGTGAGCGACGTCGAGAGGTCGACGTTCTCTATCTTGGCGTCTGATCTCACGTGGTACATGTTGTTGAGCCAGCTCGTCACCGCAAGGACGTTAGGGTGGCCGCGAGCCCGGACTTGTGATTTAGTCCAGCTGCGAATCATCGTGTTGAGATGAGAGCAGACTTGCGCGGGTAAGTGTTACGCTTACTACAGCTGGAAGAATTGCTTATCGTCCGCCGGGAAGCCTGAGCAACCATTCCCAATAAGTATATTTGTACATGGATGAGGGAAGCAAGAAGCTGACCATCAATGCCAGGATTGGTAGTGACGTATTCTTGCAACCAGTCCTTCCAGGATGCCGCTTCTATATCGTCGACTACGTCCCGGATGATGACGCTTCCCTTGCGGCGTATCTCTTCCACACGCTCGGGGTTCAGCGTAGCGAGCTCGGAGAACTTGACCTGCGGCACGTACTGCAGATATTGTAAGATCCTGCCAAGTGATGATATCCGGTGTTTGGAACGACATACGTTGGTACCCTCCTTCGCAATCTCCGCAGTGACCTGGTCGAGCTCAGCGAGGAGCTCATTCCACGCCTTAGTGACGCGCTGCTGGAAATCAGGGTAGGAGGCAGCGATCTCCTGCTTGATCTCGACGAACCGCGGAGGGCAAGGACCAAGCTCAGGCTTCAACATGATGTATCGATTGGAGTGAGCTGAGGTCAGTCCGGGCGTCCCGCATAGCTTTATATCTGAGGTAGGTCTGGAATGTCATGCGAAAGCATCACAATTCGCCCGATTGCTCACGGACCGGAGTCCGTACAATGGAGAGATCACAAGGGACATGATTCAACGATTCTACCGTTGCCCCTTCCAGAGGAGTTCGCTGTTGGCTATGCTTGACCTTCAAGAAATCATTCGCTCGTTCTTCTCATGTTCATTTATATCATTCAGCTTAACGGAGGACGGGTTGATCTTGAGCAATAGGACTCAGTGCCCTTAGCATAATCTACCAACCGCGGCCGTCGTCAGTAATGCGAGCCAGAAAAGGTAAACACGGGAAAACCTCGGCATTCCTGGCAGAAAGCCTGTCTGAGGGGAGCACATTAGCGTGCAAACAACTGAACAGGCACCATAGAATCTGATAACACCAAAGAACACGACAGTGGCGGGCGTCTCGGCGGAACAGCAGGACTTCCTGCAGGCTCATACGGCACACGATTTCCGCACAACAGGGCAATTCAACATTAAAACGATGAATAGCAAATGTTAGTACGATAGACCAAACACAAAGCATAAATTCCGGCGAAAACGAAAACAATTAAGCATGCGCGTCATGTTCAACTTCGCAGGTCCTAGGAGCGATACCGCTCGCCAAAGGGTAGATTATTCCGCAATAGCGAGGCTGTCGGATACGCCTTCTTCGTACTCTTCGTACTCTCCTTGCTCCTCGTACTCTTCGTTGTTGTCCAACGTCGCTTCTTGGTACTGATCGCGGAGGGGTCAATGGAGGAAGACATGGGTCAAAATGTTCAGGCTGTACCTGTTGATACTCAGAACTGGACAGGAATTACGATCAGCAACGCTTTATATATGGACCAAGGGGTCCTCACATCAAATCATGCGCATTACTCTCTGCTTCAGAGAATTCCATCTCATCCATGCCCTCTCCTGTATACCAATGAAGGAAAGCATGACGCTTATACATTGCCGCAAACTGTGAATAAGGATGCTATTGAGCGAAAGAAGCTTTCACTGATTACGATTGACCATACCTGTGTCAAAGTGCGTTGGAAGAGCTCTTGCACCGCCGTCGAGTTTGCCAAACACGTTGCGGACTAATGACTTAACATTGCTATCGTTCCATTTCGACATGCAGAAATGCAGCTCACCTGTGTTTGTCCGACAGGTGGAACGGAACACAGTGCTACGGAAACATTGTCAGGTATCCATCTGAGAGACATATGTTTTAATGCTGCTGCAAATGCGAAGAATCAGTGAAGGACACCTACTCGACAAACTGGGTAGAGTTCTTCGTCTGTAGGTCCTTGACGGAGTACTAGAAATAAAGTTGACAGTGTGTTCAGGTACGTTTCTCATCGGAAAACTTACTTCTGCCTATGCTGAGATTAAGTCAAACGGTACAGATCATGTGTGCGAAGAACTTACCTCTCGGGATGAAATTTTGCCTCGGAATATTGTCGCCGCCGTGAGGTACCGGCTGCGCAGCGCTGATGAGAATTCGCACTAAAACTTATCAAGGTAATGACTCACCCAAACCTCGGATCGCACGCGACCAAGAGGTTTCTCCGATCGAACAGACTGCGATAAGTCAGGAAATGGTCTGCCGCGTCCATACTGTATGGGACTCACGCTGATGTCAGTTCAGGGACAGACAGACGCGTGAACGCCTTGTTGTTAGGGTCGATGAAAGGTGCATAGCTTGGCATGAGGAAGTGTAGCTATCCCGAGCATGTAGTTGGCATATCATTCATTCACGAACACAAGAGTACGCACCCGAGGGAAAGGAATCAGGTTCAGGCCGAGTTTCCGCAGATCACTAGGTAATACCCTTTAGCGTACTGCGTTCTTCACACTAGAAGATCGAACCGTCGTACCCGTTCAGTTGTCCTGGAAAACGCAGACTCGTGCTTACGCCGCACATCACTTGCGAGACCAGCTGTCCAGACACAATGCGGCGTTATATCGGACATCAGGCGTGAAGAAGCGCGGGAATGGCGGGACGTACGGAGTTGAGGTCTTCAAAGGCGGGAGCCTTTACTTTCAGCGTGCGCACCGTGATGTCATATCTGATAACAGTGAGTAAGATGTACGAATAGGCCAAAGTGAGGACATACAGCGCTTCATTATCAATGCACATGGTCAGGTCACTGTTCTCGACCAGTTGGTGGATTGAAAGTAGAGCGTTGTACGGCTATATGCTATTGAGAGAACATCCCGACCCGACCACAGAGCACCTACCTCAACAACAGTTTCCGACACCTGCAGATGCGGTGCCACATTAGACGCCGTCAGAGTAAAGGAGAGTTGGACTTGCCTTGGGAGAGGGAAGGATTGAGAACGTTGAGAGCATCCTGTCAGGGTATTCCTGCAGTATTCAAATCAGGGAGCAGACAATGTTGTCAACAATGAACACAACTTCTCGGAATTTGGACAATAACAGCGAGCCCAGGCCAGCACCGGTACCGCCGCCGAGCGAGTGGATCAGCTGAAAACCCTGCATGGCATCGCAAGACTCCGCTTGCAGCCGTACGACGTCCTAGATGGTGTACATCGATATCAACAGAGATTGACATGACTCTTCGCGGGTTCGAGACGGACCAGGATACTGTCAACCAGCTCAGCACCTAACCAGATCGTCAGTCTTCGACCGAGATGGCGCACGAGCTTGACTAACCCTCCGTATAAACTGAAAGAATACATGAATGAGCAATCTCAAACATAGGGTTGTGTCACGTACATCCTTTCGCCCAGTTGTTGCCGGCTCCGGTATCACTGGTAATGAACGTGTCCGGCCGGAAGAGAGCTCCCACCTTTCCTGATCGGATCTGCAGGACGATTAGAAACATGGCGAAGGCTTCATCCGAAATTGCGTACATGTGCGCACACGCCTCCTTCCAAGTCGACTTGCACGCTTCGGGGTACATACTTGCTATGACCGTTGGTCTGACGGACCTCATTGAAGAAGACGTCCACCTAGCAGGATTTAGGTTTACAAGTTTTAAGCACGACTGTCAGCCTTTATACTGACCATTGGGAGCTGTAAGGGGTCATTTCCGGTGTAGAACTGCGAAATTGCCACGAAAGTCGAACGACATGAGTATCATGCACATTGCACGGATCATAGCACAACGCTGAGACTTACGCCCTCCTCATCCAAGCCATGCTCAGCGAGCAGCATCTTCCAGAAATTCTCCCCGATCTGGTTTCCGGCCTAAATCACGACATGAATGGAGTCTTCAACGCTTCCAGTCCAGGTGAACCGCGGTATACCAACCTGGCCCGCCTACGACCCGCTGCATCAGTTCAGCACTTTGGAACAGCACATAAACGCGTCTCTACCTGTATATTGATAATTTCTCGAGGCATGTTGGGGGTTTGGTATAGGGGAGGGGGAGGTTATGGAACAGAGTCAAGAGACACGATTACTCTTCGGACGCGAACATGCAAGAAGATCTAGCGCTGGCTGGATCTTCGGCAGAAGCCGCCCACAGAATCAGCGATCGAGTCTGACAGCGGCACTTGTCCTCTTGCCAACTGCAAAATTAAATGCACAAACAACCAGTTGGAGGCATGGCATTGTATGTGCACTGCACATGTTGAGGAGACTGCTACAGCTACAGAAGATACGAAGATGCTGAAAACTATGGTAAACAAAAGTCACAAAGCCAGTCGTGAATGAAGCGACTCGTCGAACCAAGAAAATGGTATCAGAAGAGACGCCACAGCCTGTTCCTGTCGTGCATCTTGGCTTTGCGGCCGACTCCAGGTCTGACAATGTCCAAGACCGAGTCCAGCCCGCTGGACGTCCGGCGACGAGTGAAGCGCCTCCTATTGAGTTGCGTGGATCCATTCGAATTGGAGCTCGAGCTGGAGAGCGCAAATATTAATTAGAGCATGCGATGGTTGAATGAAGATCGACTTACCATGTCAAAGTATTGGTTGCTCCGCCAGCGGAAGCGCTAGAGGGAGTAAAGCAATTAGCGTCAGCATTCTGAGTAAATAAGAACGAGGACATCGCAGCAGTGGGAAAAACGGCAAGTACGTCCAGGAGTAAGATGACGTTTCAGGTATGAAGAAAAGTCACGAATCGGAAGCCACATAGTGGACAGAGACATACATGGTGCTAACCAGGCAGAGGAGTATATCGAGACCATAATGGTCTCTACAACAGTGACAGTGGTCACGCCCACCGTAACGACAGGCGTGGTAGCCATTGACACCGAACTCGAAGCCAACACTGCAGGAGCTGTGCTGCTTCTCGTGTGGCATCTCCTCGTGGATGAGAGAGGTCGGGCCGTAGATGGTGCACTGAGCGAGAGATCCGCCGACGACCTATCTACGGACGATGCCACCGCAGAGGTGGCTAGAGAGGACGACGCCACAGACGCGTCCGATGCACTAGACATTGCCAGTACTGACCTTGTACTCGCCGAGCCACTATTGACGCTACCGCTGCTCGCCGTTGTAGTAGTGGCAGAAGAAGACACGACAGAGGTCGCAGCCGCAACAGCGCTGAGGGCATAACTGGGCGCATTCGGCGTCGCAGTCGCCACTACGCCATGGAGGTCGACAATGGGGAGGATGGTTGAGTTCGCATTGGGTGTGGGGATCCCGTCGGGATACGAGTTCTCGAAGATGTCTTCCTGGGCGCCATCGAGGAAGTTATACAAGTTGTTATAAAATGGTGGCGAATACGTGCCCTCAAACATCTAAGCGATAGAAAATCCGACATCAGAACCTGCGACGGGCAATATAGCTAGCAGGTTCACTTACAGTGTTGCGTTCGGCCTGGAACCAGTACAGAGGCTGCTTGGCACCAAACGTGCAGTTACCCGGAACCGCGTCTGCTTTGCCGTTATCTGGATCGGCACCGCAGCGGCGAGCGAGTTGGGGTGTGGCCAGGGCAACGTCAGACGTCGAGCCGGTAACATTGCATCTGAATCCATTCATATAGTCTGCATGGACGTTATGGCACGAACAGATCTAGATCGCCATATGCACTTACTCTGCTCACCGCCGCTATCAGGCTGCGTTGTAGTGTGTGAGCGGCGGATAAAAAGATAAAAAGAAACACGAACCGAATGAATCCAGAAGAATGCGCAGATGCAGCCTCCATCCGAACACGACGGCATCCTAGCCGGCACTTGGAACTCCGTGAACCTTGTCCACACACAGGTCTGGTTTACGCTGAACACAACAAAATCCTCCGGTTGCACTTGCGAAACGTCAGATTGGTACGTGATAGCAAGCGCGCAGCCCTTCAGATCGTCATAACCAGTAGTGTGGTACTCCGACATGGGCGAACCGGGGCAGACGTTGTCACCATCCTGGATATCGCCTCCAGGGTCACTCGCGTAGTACGAAGTGGCACCCTTGTCGCATGCAATCTCTGAGGTCGCAGCTTGACCCGCAGGGAGCTCGAAGAAGTCGCCCTCGTTCGGAGGGTAGTCAAGGTGTCCGTGGAACCACCATTGCTCAAATGTGTAATCCTGGAGAGGAGTGACGGGTCGGTTATCATACGAGAATGTCTGGGCCGTGACGTTGAAGCCCCACATGCTGGGATGCCAGATCGCTAAATGTTCATCGATACTCAGCATTCAGGGAGTGTACATGGATGCACGGGGTGTGGCGTACCAGCATGGCCAGTGGCGAATGGGACAAGGCGCGCGACCGCGGCCAAGAGAAGAAAAAAATGCATGAAGTTGGCTGATTTGAGGAACCGTGCAAGGTCGTCAGTTATATGCTTTGCAGGCAATCAAACACTAATATAAAGGAGACCCGAGCACCAGTCTCGAGCGTAGACGTGGTCCTGCCAAGCGGACAACAGAGGATGAGGGCGACTGGCAACACATACCACATCGTCGAGTTCAGACCTATATACACTCGAGGAACAAGCGGTCAAATTCCCCGGCAGATCGAGGCGAGTCAGGGCGAGCCGGCCTTTTTGTTGTCATTTCCCGTTGTCTAGCAGCTACCGACTCCAGCGAGGCTCCTTGTGTTATAGGCGTCATATTTGAGGCTGCCGTGGGGAGGAGTATCGAGAACGCTACTGTCATTCTCGAAAACCGCGATCCAGGTGCGATCTCGTCGCGCTATGTTCGGGTCCGGGTGTGTTCGTCGCGAAGGAGAGAAGAAAAAAGGCCGGATACTATCGCGTGGCAAGCGCGGGGAGCGAGCGCGTTCCTAGTGAACTTGAATTGAGATGAGCGCGTAGCACGTGCGCGCGAGCGCGCCGAACTGAACGCCCGTCGTATAGTTGTTGCTGAGCAACACCATGGCGACAAGCGGGCGGAAAGCCGAGCTCATCGCCGGAGAAATCAAAGGCTGAAGGAGCATCCAGTACCAGAACTGACGACGATGTCGTGGTTATGTGCAATTCTGCGAACGGGAGGATACTAGGTTAGTAAATCAGAGAACAAGGGGCCTTATGCCAACGATATTTTGAAATCCTCCCTCAGTTCATCAGGCTTTCATTCCTACCCATGACCTCAATAACGCGTCTCTGCTTAATCAAGTCAGATGCCTTCTGTAAGTCTCTGATTACATAGCATTTGTGAGTTGAAGCCTTCGTTAACAACCTCATCTCCAGAGGTCGACAACTGACTGAGCATGAGAGCCAGCAGGAGGAGCAAGTCCGCATCAGAGGAGTCCGACAAGCTTCATTTGATCACCCGCGATCAAAATGTGCCACACGTAGTGCATGGATGGTGGCTGAAAACGTTTCATTGTTCTCTGCATGCAGTGGTGCCACAAGCCACCCTCACTTTATCCTCTATAACAGCTAGCAACAGCGGCTGGGGACAGCTTTGATTTACTTAAACTCGGTCGACCCTCATCGCTCGACAGGAAACCAAGGCATTAACAACTACCAGCGCGCTCTGCCACATTACATAACTATGGGCTCCTCCGCTGGTTACATCCCCATCCCCATCATTCTGGAAGACGATTCCAACGAGATTTCGTGCTTCATCCGTGCGCCGGCCGACAGCGACCGTGCAGACTTTAGTGCTTTTACGCTATTCAAAGATCGATGGAAGCCATGGGATAGCTGGCTGATACCGGCGCACTCTGTCGATAACAACGAGCCTTCTAATGTTCTTCCTCCAGGATCCAAACTACTTTGACATGGACGCGTTCTTCGAGTGGCATGAGAGTCGCCCTTTATATAAGGACGTGAGTAACTTTGGGTCATTACCACGGCTATCCCTCGTGTGCTTAATTACATATTTTCTCAATGCAAGTTATACACGCAAATCGCGGTAGCACACGACACCAAGTACGGATTCATGCTCGACAAGGATCTCCAGCTGCGACCACGACTTGCACGGCCCTTACCCACATACTATTGTCGGCCTCAGTATCATTGCCGCAAAATTAAGATGTTCCCAAGGCACCCAACACACCATTTTTATGGACAGGGCCAAGCAAACGCCGGTATACACATGTCAGATATCAACGATTACGACTTCGCGGGTGGCTCAGCAACGGCTGGACATGGAGAACCTCACATCATTAAGATCAAAGAAGACAAAGAAGAGAGCTTCTACGACAAATACTGGAGTGTCCAGGAAGAAGATACCATCTACTGTCAAGAGGCAGTGTGAAAATCGGGTTGAGGAGGCTATTATGCCAAGATCATTGCGCCGATCTCCAAGAAAGAGGATCTCCGATGCAGTACTGAGATATCGCTCGCTGAATGTCGAAGGTCGGTCTAACGCGCGTAGGATGACGAGTTGCGGACTCCGAGGATCGGAAACGGGACTCAGATAATTATATCTCAAGCAACAGCGGAGACAGCGACAATACATGATTTTTCACCATATTCTTGACAGTCTTGGTGAGTTGTCAATGTTCGCTTCGCACTATGCGCGTCACGAACTCATGTCCCTTGCGAATGTTTTTTACGCCAAGATATTGCTGTATTGCTGTGACAGATCGCGGAACCAATTCATTGACCCCGCAAACGCGAATACATATCACTGTTGATGTTGATTCTAGCCCGTATGGCTCCCGCTACCTCTACATCTTTCAGGAACACTTTCATGTACTTTATGTGTATTCTTCGCAGGATCAGGATATATTGACGTTGCTACGTGCTCCGTGTGTGTAAGGGTGGGAGCGCTAGGCATAGTCGTCTCCTGGGGCGTGGAAGATGCGACGAGCTCGTCCGCCTTTTCTCACAGCCGCCAACTGAGACTCTGCGTAACTTGAAGTTGCAACGTTTATCCCGGCGGCCGGACCGCCCCCGAAGCGCGACCGATTTCTCTACTCTACAAGCGCCATCTTTGGGAGCGCATTACTTATACCGCACCCGTCCCGGTGCCCTCTTGTTCCGTACTTCCATCTCCCCTCTCCTCCCTCAATAAATTGTTACTGAACAGCAAAACACGATGCCGGGCACCGAAAGCAAGTTTCCCATCGATCTCAAGTCACTGAAGAAGTGAGCAGATGGTCCATATATGCGCGTACCGAGTTAACAAAGACCGGATGCAGGGTGACTCTCAACCCGACTCAGCCTAAGCTGACGGAGCAGCAGAGGGCCGCGTTGCTGCACAACGTCCAAATTATGCGCGATGCTATCGTCCTCTTCACGGCGACTGGCGCTGCGCGGGGCGTGAGCGGGCACACAGGTGCGTTCTCAGCGCTCCGCGGGAGAGACGGGTGGATCCTGACGCTCTCCCAGGCGGTGCGTATGACACGGTTCCCGAGGTGTGCCTGCTCCTGTCGCTCTTCAACCACTCGGATGATTACGTGCCCATCCTCTTCGACGAGGCCGGTCAGTGTCTCACTGCTAGCGCGTCCCCGAATCGCCATCTGACCGCGATCGCCAGGACACCGCGTCGCGACGCAGTACCTGCTCTCCGCCATTGAGGGGCATATCCCCGCCGAGCACCTCCTCCACTACCGCGAGGCGAACTCGAAGCTTCCTGGTCACCCTGAGCTCGGCCTCACGCCTGGCGTTAAGTTTTCCTCCGGCCGCCTTGGCCACGTCTGGCCATGGGTGAACGGAATTGCCCTCGCGAACCGCAGCAAGACAGTGTTCTTGCTCGGCTCGGACGGTTCCCAGCAAGAAGGCAACGACGCGGAGGCGGCACGGCTCGCGGTGGCGCAGAACCTCAACGTGAAGCTGATCATCGATGACAATGATGTGACGATTGCCGGGCATCCGTCGCAGTATCTCAAGGGCTACGACCTCAACAAGACCCTCACTGGACATGGGCTCAAGGTTCTTACAGTACAGGGCGAGGACATTGACGCGCTCTGGGGTGCGCTATGCGAGATCATCACGTACAACGGCCCCGCTGCAGGTAGGTCTCCCCTCCGTGAAGGGAGCTACTGTGTCACTCACGTGTCTTCAGTCGTCTGCAAGCGTGTCATGGCACCCGGCATTGCGGACATCGAGGGCAGCACCCACGGACACGATGTCATTCCCGTCAAGGCTGCTATCAAGTACCTCACGTCACGCGGTTACCCCGAGAGCGTGTCGGCGGACATCTTGAATAACATCAAGCCCACGGCAGTGCCTTACCTTTACATTGGTTCCACCAAGGAGGTCGGCGCGAATCGTGTCGTGTTCGGTGAGGCCGTCAACCTGGTACTCGACAAGTTGACCAAGGAGGAAGCGGCGGCGAAGGTCATGGTCATTGACAGTCAGTCTGAACAGATATTCAGTAAAGGCATATGGCTTACGCGGCACGAGCAGGTGATCTGGAGGGCTCAACCGGCCTGAAAGTCATTCACCAGAAGCACCCAGAGGTGTTCATCCCTTCTGGGATCATGGAACGTGGTAACTTCAGTGCGGCCGCTGGCTTCGGCTTCGATGCCAACAAGTATGGTGTATTCTCGACGTTCTCTGCATTTTTAGAGATGGTGGTCTCGGAAATCACGATGGCGCGCCTGAACTTCTGCAACGTCCTCTGCCATTTCTCACACTCTGGAGGTATGTCCACTGCTAATTTTTTTCTGGGTCAAATACTGATTGAGTTGTTCGACAGTTGACGAGGTCTGTCTTGTTATTTCTAAGATGCACGCTGTGACACTCATCGCATTCTAGATGGCGGATAACACCTGCCACTTCGGTCTCAACTCTTTCTTCGCCGACAACGGGCTTTCCGACGCTCAATCCTGGCTTTACTTCCCCGCCGATCCCGCGCAAATGACTGCCGTCATACAGCGCGTCTTCTTCGACAAGGGTCTGCGCTTCGTCTTCTCGACACGGTCCAAGGTACCGTTCATCCTCAAGGAGGACGGGAAGACGCGTTTCTTCGGCGATGATTACAAGTTCGTGCCCGGGAAGGACGAAGTCATTGCGGAGGGCACTGCCGGGTATGTCGTGTCGTACGGAGACATGCTGTACCGCTCGTGGGATGCGGTGCTGCGCTGCCGGCAGGAGGGATTGAACGTCGGCTTGATCAACAAGCCGACACTGAACCTCGTGGATGAGCGGACGATCACGAAGGTTGGGTCAAGTCCGTTCGTGCTTGTCGTAGAGTCTCTGAACCAGAAGACTGGGGTAAGTCTCGATATCCATATGTTTGTTTCTCCGGATCCTTAACAATCTGTTTCTCAGCTTGGCTCCAAGTTTGGCACGTGGTTGCTCGAGCGTCAGCTCACCCCTCGCTATGGCTATATGGGAACCAACAAGGAGGGTTAGTGACGTCCATGGCTTGTTTTCCGCATATTCACTCACATCAATCTTGTAGGCTGCGGCGGTCTGTCTGAGCAGATTCCGCACCAGGGCCTCGATCCGCAATGTAAGCAAACCATGATTCCTCCGTCACTCTTCGCTGACCAGTATTTGCAGCCATCATCCTCAAGATCAGGCAGCTTTCACAATAGACCATCCAATTTCTCTGGCGTTGATTTGTACGACAGGAGTTACCTGAGTAGATTTCGGCATCGTTTGAAATGCAACGTGTATAAGAAAAGATAAGGTGTAACACATTCAATAGATCATTTTTTATGTCGGATGCAGCGCTTCGCCACGAACCGGTACAATTATATCTAGCTAACAACTGGATTTTCACGAGACAAATGGCAAGAACAAAACCAGATTACAAATTTCGGTACTGTGAAACTAGCCAAAAGAGAACACCGAAAACGGAGTATATACGACGATACGGAGGAACGAAGGCATAGGCAAAAGGAAAATACGTCCTTTCTCAACGCGCACGCAAACCTACATATCACGGCCACGCATCCGAGCACGTCCTATCCGGACGTTTGCTGTTCCTGCCCTTGCAGTCGAGCTTCCCGCAGTCCTGGCAAGGATTGGTACAGAACGCGCGGCCGCCTTTGCCTTTACACTCGTTCGAGCCGCACTTGCAGCAGTGGCGAATGCGCTTCTGCGCAGGCTCGGTTAAAGAGCCGGCTTCGGCGGACGAATCCACAATCGAGAATGTGCGCTTGAGGATGTTTTGGTTTGCGTTCGGGTCGATGGGCGGCGACGGATAGAAATAAGGGTTTGCATACTGATAGGGCGAGTATGGGGCGAACATCGGAAACTGTCCTGCACGACTGATCGAACCGGGGTCTGGGCTTGCGGGATTAGGATTAGGATTGGGGTGCTGGTGCGCGGCTTGTCCATTCACATCCACGGCATTGCTCGGCCCGGCCTGCGGCTCCTGCATACCACCGCTCGGATCTGCGGCGGCACTGTGCGCGTTCCAGGCTTCGTGGAACTCTTCGGCGGACCTCTGCATGGACAAGTCAACGATGGGTTGAATATCACAGGAAATGAGGAAAACGAAAACTTGCATCCTTGGGATATTCGAGGCTGCCTTCGACTTGGGCTGCATCCTGATTTTCATCATCTTCCTCCTCCTCCTGGTCTGCCGATCCATCCTGCTGCTCTTGCGGCGGAGGAGGCATGGGCATCACCTCATCCTCAATCAAGCCGCTCTGGATCGATTTAATGATATCCATGATAGCCTCCTTCGTGAGGCCGGCTTTCAGGCTCGCGCGGACCATATTCCACAGCGCAATCGACACGCCCATGCCATGCCAGTTCCATACGTCTGGGCCACTGCCCAAGTCCGGGTTGCCCTGAATCAGCAGCGCCGGGAACTCGTCGCGCAGCTTCGGCGGGAGGGAACGCAGGATCGATATATCTGTGCTCGCAAATTTGCGGCCCTCGGGAGCACTCTGCGGGTTGGCGCACATCGGGCTGCGGCAGACATACTCGCAGCCAATGATGAAAAACGGCTTGCCGAGGTCATACACCTTGATTGGGCCGGACATGATGCGTCCGCGATTAATGAGTGGCGCGGAGCACGCCGGGCATGCGATCCCGTTGAACACGAGTGGCTGCGGGTCCCAGTACAGGAAGCGATGCTCAGACGGGATGCGCGCCGTCGACGCGGAGGCTGTCAGAGAAAAGTAGACAGGCGACGAGGGCAGCCAAAAGGTCTTCAAGATCGAATAGAGTGTCGGGATCGACGGTATGTTCTTGCTAGCAGGGGCGAGCGACGCGAGGTGCGACTTGAATGCTTCTTCTACGCTGGGCCCGGCGGCCGACACGGGGTTCGGCGCAGCCAATGCGGAGACTAGGAGCTGCAGGAACGCATCTGGACGGGTGCGTGCGACGTCTGCCCAATTGTCCCTATCAAGACTGGGATCGATCGGGAACATAAACGACGGGCGGCCGCTGCGCGGCAGCGAGCCCATCGGCGGTGCCGAAGCTCGCCACGGATCGCTGGGACCGGGCATAAAATTGTTATACTGAAAATAGCGGATAGCCACTCGGAATCAGTATTGGCAAAAAAAGGAAATTTTGCGAACAAAGGCGTACCCCATAGCTAAAGACGGCCGCCGCAGAGACAGACTGGGCGCCGCTCGCGAACGTGCCTGGCGGACGCTTGCGCGGTCTGCTTGCACGCCGGGGGCCCACAGACCCCGCAGGTAACCCATCCTTCCTGGGACGACCCACTGGGCGCTTGATCTTTGGCTCAGCGTTCATGTCGAGCTGCTTCTTTCCGCTGCCTTTGGGGCGTCCTGGCTTCCTCTTCAAGGGCACTTCTGGGTTGGTGCCGTCTTGGTTCATGGGCATGGGCGCAACGTTAATAGGGGCACCAGACACTACGTTCGGCGGGACTGCCACTGCGTTCTGGTTCGGCATCTGCATGGGTTGGCCGGGGACGGGATCGTTGGTTCCCACTTGGACATTGTGATCATGTTGCGTGGCCTGCGATAAGGTCATCGACTGGCCAGCCAGCGTGCTGGCGATGCTTTGAAGAGAACCGTCTGCCATGTTTTGCAGCAAGATACTGCGAACACCTCGTTAGCCCGTTCTCTGCGTGCATAGTGGTGAAAGACAAGAAATAGGGCAGAGCCAGAATAACGAAAAGGACGGGGAGAATATGGTGCAGTAAATGAGGGGTAAGAGACATAACCGACGACGGGCAAATATCCCTGCCCTTTGCGACGACAAGGAGACGTTTGTTACCTGTTTTGCGAGCGACAAGTGGTGGGGATTAGTTCTCGCGCCTATAAATGCTTGTTCTGCGTATTTTGCGTGCAGGATGGAGGGAGAAAGAGATTCTGCAGGTTAACGTGCGAGGATAACTGTTCGGTAACTACCGGAAACACTTGCTGACTTATCATCCCCAAAATAGAAGTATGTCACGTGCGTGACCGGGACGCCCATCCTTTGGCTCCGTCGTCCTTGGCGGCACATCCCAGGCTCTCTCGAGGCTTTCCTGCGCACTCCTCCAGCTTTCTGGCCTCCTCTTTGCTCTGCTCGCCTTCCTCGATTTGTAAAATGCGATGCAGGAGAAGCTGTTCAAACTGGAAAATTGCGCCCGAGCGTTTGTTTTGCAGCCGTAAGGGGAAGCGTGCGTGACGTCACGGCCAGCCCAGAGCCACTCTCTCCGTTGCACCCATCACACGCTCGCATACCTTATCCTGCGTCAGAAATGCGCCCGTCCGCCTTTGTTGCACCTCCTCTCCGCCAGCCGCCATGACCTCCGACTTCGCCACCTCCATCGGCAGAAAGCTCTTCGAAAAGCACCTTCAAAATTACACACCTGAAGACCCACTCTACGAGACGTACACGGACAAACGCGGGCGGCAGCGCAGGAGAAAGGTGTGCGCGTATGCATTCGAAGTTGCTGGAAATGTGCTGAGATTTGGAGCGCCGCTAGAGGGAGCTGCCGCCTGGATTGAGTTCGCGCGACGCGAAGATTCTCAAGTCCGTGAAACGACGGGCGCATCACCTCGATAAGGGATTCAGTATATGTGGCATGCGCTTTGGATGGACGTTTTTCATCGGTGAGTGCGATGTCGGGGTTTTCGGGCTGCTAGAAGGGTGTACGAGCTGTTCCCAGTTTTGCACTATGACGATAACCCAGGTTCGCTACGTCTCGCTGGATTTGCATGTCGCTAGATTGACTATTGCAGCACACATCCTCCTCCAAGTTTCTCTCACTGCTCCAGCACGACGAAGGGCGTGAAACGATGCATCGCTCTAATTATAATTCTGTGCCCAATCTGTCATTGGCGTCATAGACATACACTCCACGTCGCCGCCTGCCTGCGGCGCTATACTCACGCTTCGCATGACCTCATCGATGTCGAATTCTAGTGCTGATACACAACCCCTAGGTATTGTTCCTGGAGCTGGTGATATAGCAAACGCAGCATTGAACTATGTTCTTGTGGTCAGAAAAGCAAGACGGGCGGAGTGAGTTGTTTCTCATGACACCTAATCGCCGCATGACTTAGTGTGCTTCCTAGCATTCCTGATTGGCTATTAAGCCGCATGCTTGTCAACAACGCCGTTTCTGCTGCCGTCGGCTTTGTCCCAATAGTTGGAGACATCATGCTGGCCGTTTACAAGGCTAACTCCCGGAACGCCGCGCTGCTCGAGGAGTTCCTACGGATACGAGGCGAAGAGGCTCTTAAGATGGCAGAGGAGGCGCAGGCACAGGCACAGGCGGCCGTGAGCACTGGTGGGCCACCGGCGCGCGAAGAGAGGCCAAACAACAAGCGTGAGGGCAGCGGGTGGTTTGTGCGGAGGAACAAGGCAAAGGACACCACACCGGAGACAGCACCAAGTCCGCTCGTGAGCATGAATAGGGATAGCCGGTTTATTGAAAACGTGCCGTAGTGAGCGCGTCGGACCTTCACCTCATTTTGTTACCCGAACGAACATTGCGTCACATACTACCTCACAAGCACACTTGTGTATCATGTTTGGATTGGATTTACTGTAGTATATATGTTCCACGTTTATCGCCACAATGCGGATAAGGCTCATACGATGATTTTAAAAATGCGCTTATGATGATTCATGATAAGATCTTTACTCGTACAAGGTACCCTCATCGTCGCTCTCTCCTCGTCTTCCCAGACCCATATATATCCCCAGCCCAACCGGACTGTGTGGCTTAGTAGGGGACTGAAAGTCGCCATCAGATCGCGTGCCAATGGACGGCACTGTGGGGGACGCAGAACGGGTGGAGATACTGGAGCCGACCAGCGCGCCAGGCGTCAGCCGGCAGTCCCGCAGCACGAGCTCGTTCGCAGCGACGACAGGATCAGTGTTAGTACCGACGATTTGCCAGCCCGTCGGCGCACCAGGCGTCAGACGGACGTTGCGCGCACCCAGCTCGTCGGGGGTTACGATAGGATCGAGCTCGCTCGCGAAGGCGGGCTGCACGCCGATGTCGACGACGGGCGAGAGGGAGTTGAAGAACGTGCCGAGGGCGGAAAGCCTGGGTACGGTGGGTGAAAAAATCTGAGAGGCATGCGGCGGAAGGAGCGGCTGACGGGGCGACACGTACGGCGCTCCTCTGTAGAGGCGAGGGCGCGTGGGATATGTGGGCCGAAGTACCGCAGACGGGAATGGTGGGACGCGGGCGACCGCTGGAGTGGGCGGTGCGTCGAAGAGGAATGGCGGAATTCGCGCGAGCGCGAGCTCCGGGGAGAACGGGATCGCCGGCGAGAACAGGTCGGACTCAGCGGCAGGGCTCTGCGGACGAACTGTGCTGCCAAACATCAAGTGTGGAGGGGCACCTCCAGAGGCTGGTACGGGTTTCCCAGCGAGAGTACGGACGTGCGCTGGAGAGAGCTTGGGCGGGAGGCCGAGGCCGACGCTGTTATGGGATTGGGCGACTTTGCGAGCCTCGGCACGGACTTTGGCATGCGCGAGTACGGCCTCGAGTTCATGCTTGTTGGGACGCCTGGTAGAGGATGTGGATGCCGCGTTGGCGTGGATGAAAGGACACGAGTTTGAGCGCGAAAGTGAACGCCTGATTCCGCCTGGACCAGCCAGGGAAAACGGGCGAGAGAATGACGAAGAGGCCATGTTGAAATAACGATGTTACAAGCAGTGATAAGCGTATTGACGTTCTGTGTGCCCGGTGAATTTGCTTGAAGTGCACTCGACTCGAATGCACTTTTATGCACTACACGTACGGATGTGCGGTGTGCGGATGTTTTGAACATACCCGTTTCCGCATCACGTACTTCCACGTCCAATCAAAGGTACTCACATTCAGCAGCATCCGGATTCAACCACATGTCACAGTGCCTTGACCGTTGCGCCAGACTCGGAGAAGGATACTTGACATTCGCTGAGGTCAGGACCGGTCATTCGATGCTCTGCACTAGCTTCCGAGAGGTCAGCAAAGCACTCTTCGCCCTGTCAGAAATGCATATTTGAATCCTGAGACTAAAGGTGATGGATGCAAGAAGCAGGGGGCTCCAAGGGTATTCCAACGTCGCATTTCGAAGGGTTCGTTTGATCGTGGGCGTTTGTCGGGGAGCTGATTAGGCGCTGCGCTGAGATCCGTTTTCTGATCGGGTCTGACCACGTGACACTCCCGGGAGACGGAATGAGCAAGTCCGACCGTTCCGGCCACAGCCACCAAGTGAAATCAAAGCGCCGATTCGTCAACAAGTGTTTGGAAATTCGAATTAAATCTCTACTGTGGCCTGCTTAAGATCTAAATCCGATCTTAGTTATTGCGCCGACGTGGTAGGCGGTGAAAGAACGGTAATTGATTGCATTTGAGCAGGCTTTACAGCAGCGTTCCCATGTCTCGCACGCAATCTGTTGGCAGAATGTGCTAAGGACGCATCTGACATCCCATCGTGAGTACTTGTCTCTCGTACAACGCCACCTAATCTCTCGGCCCTATCTTCCTAAACGAGGACACCGCAGGGCATTTCGCGTTTTCGGTGCCGATACTTTAACAACGTGTCGGCGAATAAATCTCCCAGGATACCGACAGTGACGTTGGGTGTTGATAGAATCCTCGGAAGCCTCCGTCGGGAGAAAAGGAACCCAATTGTGCGTGCGACGCCTGCCGAAATCAATGCAACCAGATATAAGGGCAGTCCGCTTCGGCGTCCCGATCTTAAGAAGCTTCACTGGCCGTGCCCGTCGGAAACGCGAGATGCGTTCTGCGAGCAACGGTTCCTTGTCCACGCTGCAATGGACCTCTAGAATGAGCACAATGCGTGAAATATTCCCGAAAGCGCCACAATCCCGCAGCAAGGCAGGAGCGCTGTTTGCGTTTTGCGTAAGGCGTGCCTTCACGACCGCGCCAATTTGAAGACCCATTGGTAAGGGGCTGATTCAACTCCATGGTGAGTAAGTTCTGTCCAGTTGTTCGGCGATACTGAATTTGCCTCCGCCACATAGGTTCGGTGGAGGAAAGGTACCCGGCTCTCGAGGATATATAAACCCCTCGAGGTTGGTCTCAATGCCGTAGATATCTTCCCTCACTTCATCCTTCCCACCTCGTCTTCACCCTTGATTCTACAGCCATGACCGTCATCACACGTCCCGTACTCCCTCCCTGCCCTCAGATCCATGGTCGCTCGAGCACGACCTTCAAGCTCCCTCCTTTGGAGGGCTCATTGACTCTCCCCGAGCTTTTCGACTGGCAGGCGCAGAACTCTCCGTCCCACCGCGTCTTTACATTCGCCGACGATGATGGTGAAACTAGGGACATTACCTGGCGCGAAGCGGCGCGTGGTGTTCATACAGGCGCAAAGCTTGTCAGGAGCCGCCTTGGCTCGCAGCCTGGGATACACGAAACTCCAGTCATAGCGATTCTCGCGACTTCAGGTAAGATATCCCTTGCGCTTTATCTTCGGAACTAGCGGCTCAAGTGACCTGCCCTCAGACGGCATTCCATACTTCACAATGATGATCAGTATCATGCGGGCGGGCTACGCTGCATTTCTCATCTCCTCACGTAATTCATCTGCGGCCGTCGCCCACCTGATCAGCCAGGTGGGAGTTAAACATCTCTTCGTCGGGCCGGAACCGTCCATGGAGGAACTCGCCGGCGAGGTGATGAACCTTCTCAAGACGGAATACCCTTCGTCATCTGTGCCGAACTCCTCGTCCCTGCCGCTATTCGAAGAGCTTTACTTGCCGTCGTCCACGGCGACTGTTGACGTTCCGTATCAATTCAAGGGAGCCAATGCTCCCGCCCTGATTTTGCACTCATCCGGTATACAGCCTTGTTTATTTTGTGCCTTGTTTGATCCTTGCTGACTGTACTCCATAGGCTCCACTGCATTCCCCAAACCCATCGTCATGTCAAACCAGAGAGTTCTCGAGATTGTTCGGTCCCCTTGCTACGGCGAACGCGACTTGTGCGGTGTGGTATTCTCGCTGCATAGCACACCTATGTTCCATGCTATGGGCGTCATGATCGCGATGTGGGGGGTAAGTGAATTTGTGTTTATCGGTTCTTAGCCATCATCTTAGCTTGCTATTCCCTACAGCCGGCTGCAGGCATCACATACGCATTCTTCAAGCCCAAGTCACCTCCTACTGTGCCGTCACCAGACTTGACGATCCAAGCTACCAAGGCGACTCAATGTGACATCATCGCCGCTGTTCCGGCAATGATTGAGGTAAGAATTTACCCGCATATTGTCCGGGACACCAATGAACTGTTTCCTTCACAGATGTGGTCTCGCGTCCCAGAATACGTAGACTACTTCAAGACGCGTCAGGGCCTCGTGAGTATCGCGTGAGCATTTTTGGCTCGCCAATGCTAATTAATGAATGGCCAGATATACGGCGGTGGACCTCTTAGCAAAGAGGTTGGCGACTTTTTGGCATCGGAGGGCATCACTATCTTTAACCTCTACGGATCGTGAGTATTTTTCATGTCTTATCTGGCCCGGGTGCTTATGAAGGGACTTGTGTAGAACGGAGGGCGGCCCACTGACGGTCATCTTACTCGCCGAAGTTGGTATGGATTGGGAGTACTTCAAGTTGCCGGACTGCGCCAAGGCGCACATGATCCCGCAGGACGATGGCTCGTATGAGTTCATCCTCATGGTATGTCTTGTGTCGCGGTGTTTGGCTTTGACTGGTGAAGACTGAGGACTCTGAATTGCAGACCAGCGACGCCCTTCACCCAGCCGTTTTGAACGCTGACGCCAATGGCGTACCCTCTTATGCGACGTCTGATCTCCTGATCAGACACCCGACGAAGCCGGGATTCTGGAAGATCCACGGCCGTACAGATGACCAGATCATGCACAGCACAGGAGAGAAGGTTGGTTTCACCTCAGCCAAATCCAGTGAACCGAGCTGTTACTAACGATTTCTCTCCAGACAAACCCGGGCCCGCTTGAGGCAATGATGAACCAAGACCCCCATGTGCATGCGTCAATCATCTTTGGTCGCGGACGATTCCAGGCCGGCATCCTTGTGGATCCCAAGCGGGAGTACCAGTTTGACCCGTCAGACGAGAAGAAGCTCGCCGAGTTCAGGAACAAGATTTGGTGCGTCTGGATCTTCAACTACATTCACATTTGCCTTGACATGTCTTCGACATAGGCCGACTGTCGAGAAGATGAACGAGTTTGCGCCGCAGCACTCGAGATTGTTCAAGGAGGTGAGCGGAATCAGCTTTCTGCTTTGGAACAATGCTAACTCCATCTCGGCTCGCAGATGATCATGGTGTCGAAGCCTTCCAAGCCGTTTGCGTACACAGCCAAGGACACCGTTCGCCGCGGAGTCGTCTTGAAGGAGTATGACCAGGAGATCAACGACATTTACGATTTGGTCGAGAAGAGCGCGCAATCGAACGTCCCTCCGCCGGAGAAGTGGGACTTGGACTCGGCCGCACAGTTCGTGCGGGCCGTCGTGGGCAAGATCATGACCCATAAGGTGACCGATAGCGACGACTTGTTCCAACACGGATGCGACAGGTATGATCCTCCTTATATCTTTTCATACGACACTTCTTGATGTGATTTCTATGCTATCAGCTTGCAGGCGACGTACATCCGCAACGCTCTCCTCCGCGGCTTGCAGGAGACAGCAAAGATCGACACCCGCAAGATTGTCGGCAACTTCGTCTACGACCACCCAACCGTCTCGAGTCTCGCGTCATTCGTCTCCGGCCTCGCACTCGGCACGGTCGATGGGAAGAAAGCGGACTCTCCAGCGGCGCGCATTAATGCCATGCACGCAATGGTGGCCAAGTATACGTCTGACTTCCCGGCTCACAAGCCAAACGAGGCTGCGCTTGGCGCGAGACCGCACGGAGATGTCGTTTTCGTGACTGGAACCACTGGCAGTTTGGGTTGTCATCTCCTGTCGCAGATGGCTGCAAATCCCGAGGTCGCTGTCATCTATGGGTTCAACAGGCCTGCAAGGAACCAGATTCCTCTCTTCGAGAGGCAGAAAGCTGCCTTGGCTGACCGCGGCCTGGATGCGAGCATCCTCAACACACCGAAGGTCGTACTTCTTGAGGGCGAGCTGGCGCAACCCTACTGGGGCTTGCCAGAAGAAACATACGATGAGGCATGCATCTTCCTCTGTGATTAAGTGTAGCACATACTGACTCTGCCGGATTGTAGCTTCACCGCACTGTGACGCACATCATCCACAATGGTAACGTCTAATGGTATCGAGCTTCGTGATTAAATACTGATCGACCGTTATTTTTGCTCGTTTAGCGTGGCGTGTCGACTTTGTGATCAACCTGTCGTCGTTCGAGTCGAGTATAGCCGGAGTACGCAGTCTTGTCGACTTTGCCCTCACTTCGCCTTTGCCCGAGCCTCCACGGGTATTGTTCGAAAGTTCCATGGGTGTCTTCCAAAGTACGTATTATCTATCTGGGGCCGCGCTATTGTTCTGAACGCAACGTTCTCGCGCATTAGATGCTCCCGATTTGCGATTTGCCGAGGAGCCAATCCTGCCTGACTGGGCGTTAGGTACCGGCTACGCAGAATCGAAGTGGGTGTCCGAACAGATCATGTACGCCGCGGGCAAGAAGACGGTGTTGGATCCATTGGTTGTGCGTGTGGGCCAGGTCTGTGGTGGCCTGGACGGCACATGGAATGCGCACGAGTGGTACCCCTCGTTGGTGCAAAGTGCGCCGAGGCTCGGATGCTTCCCCGACGACCACAAGGTGCGTTTCCCACGAAACTCGGTATCCAGCGCTTTTTTGCTCAAGGCTGACTGCGTGCGCGAATAGGGCATCAACTTTATTCCTCTGGATATCACCACTTCTGCGATTATTGACTTCCGCAAGGCGCCGTACGAGACCGGTGTCGTCCACCTCGTCCACCCGAACCCGGTGTCCTGGCACTCGCTCGCGGAGGTCGTCGCACAGGAATTCAACGTCGAGCTAGTGCCTTTCCCCGAGTACGTCGTGAAACTGGAAGAGGTAGCAAGCTCTGTCTCTGGCGCCAAGGCCGACGCGCAGGGCGAGATGGTCCGCAGCCTGCGCGCGCTGCACCTGCTTCCCTTCTACCGCGGCTTGGCCGAGAAGGGCTCGGACACCAGGCTGGCCATCGGTTTCGGCGACCTCGATGTCACGCGGGCCGTGAAGGTGTCGCCCACGCTGGGCGATCCCAATCTCCGCCAGCTCGGAGCAGAGGACGTGAAGAGATGGATCGCGTACTGGCACAGGGTTGGACAGTTCTCCGGCGAGCCTTTGTAGGTATGATGACGGGGAAAGAGCGTACGTTTGATCATGCATCGTCTTTTGCACGTGGAACATAGAGATTGAATCAACATCATGGACTCACATCAGTAAGCATAGGAATCATAGACCATAGACATAGACTACAAGCAACCCATAGACCATAGAGCAGTATGTCGCAATAGATGTTGAACATTATTATGCAACGCGACGGGTGGCACTAAGAAGCGTATCTATAGCCACCGGCAAGAGAAAGAAATATTGCATAACAAGCGATTCTTCGAATTCCGCGGCAACAACGTAGCAATGCAAAGCAATGAATAGAACTCAGGCTCAGGCGCGAAGTGGAGCCAGAGCGCGGCGATGTACTTCTTTCGCAACAATGTTTTGTAGCTGTTCCAGATAATGGAATTGCTAGGTCTTCGCACGACGAGCATGGTGATAATCGGACACAAATTTGCGGTTGCAATACAATCACCGATCCACTGTGGTCGCAGACTCCCGCTCTCCGTGCCATAGCGCTTAACTCCACTGTTGTGCTCACGAGTAACGAAGTTAACTGACACGCACTTCAAAATGACGTCATAAGGCATAACGGCAATGCAGCAAGCAAGAAGATATATGATGTGAGAATTTGACACCCCTAGAGGGTACAGAGGAAAGCATGGCGAAATTTTCCAGGGGTGGAACATACGACGACGACGATCTTGAGCGGTCGCTCGGGAAATTGGGAAGAGACATACCGGGGCTCGAGCCTGCTTTTTATCAACCTGGCTCGGCATTCTTGTCTAAAGATTTGTACATTTGATCAGATACGGCATAGAACCCAGTATTTGATGGTGAATGATGGTGCATGAATGGGTAACAGCCCATCAAGCTTTTAGGGTGGCCACGTGCGGGTATTTCGCGAAGTTGAATATCAAAGTATCACCCATTCTATGCAAGGAAGAACGCCAAGATGCATAAAAAGACCCATAATTACTGCGAACACACAACCATGAGACGTACTTTGTTGAACACATGAGTCTTGAGCTTGAAGCTTAAGCTTGGGCCGTTGCAATCGCAGTAATGAGTGACCCATATTGACTACCAAGTGGTGCGACAATGATAGCACTCTTGGCGAACGTGGTCGTGCACGTCAAGATCAAGAGCATCAACAAATGACGTCGTCGAGGCACGGCGATGAAATCGAGATGTCAGGAGCTAAGGATGCCGTTGGTCTTCGGGCGTTGGCCACATAAGGCTAAACGCGTGTGCATCCGGCGACGACGGGCGTCCTCATCGTTGTTCAACTAACCAGGGCCAGAATGAGCGTCAACGAGCTTAGCGCTACGAGACGTCGAAAGCAAGCAGGACGCTTGGTATTCCATTAATTGCATTGAAAGTGCGAAACGGAGCCGTCCATTCATTTGGGGGATGAAGTTGGGGCAAAAAAGCTAGTCAGACGGGCGGAAGCACTTAGCAGGATAATCTTCCGAACTCTTCCGAATGAGGTCCAGGCAGTTCCCAAGGAAGATATTGCATCGGAATGCGCGGCCAGAGCGGACAGTGTGTGCGGTCGTTAGAGTTCGGACGAAAACGGTTAACACGGGCTAGCAGGGCGTGTATTGTTTGAGCGAAATAACCAAGGATCGGATACGCGATTGATGCGCCCGGGGACAGCCGCGGCAGCTCGGCATGGAGGCGGGTCGAAGTGAAAGAGTCTTCGGGTTGCGCCCTTTGGTCCGACTCCCACTCAAAAAAACCGTATATATCTCCTTCTCCACAACGGCTTGCTCCACCTGCTCGTCGCCCCCGACGTCCTCGACCGCGTCCCATCCACGCCTCCGAGTCGCCCCGGGCACCTCGAGCACCCGTCCCCTCGTCCAGCCCTCGCCGCCCATGCCTACCGTCCCCTCCTCATGCGTCCCGCTCGCATCTCTCGCCGACGAGGGCGTCCGGCTCGTCCCTGCCGGCCTCCACCTCCAGGAGGACACCGCCGGGCCCACTCCCGACCCCGACCTTGACGACCTCGTCCTCGTGCCCGCCGAATCAGGCAATGTCGTCACATCGGTGCGTCGATCGGATCGTCACCTCGCGCCCTGCTCGCCCGCATTGACTCTGAGCCTTATTCACAGACGCATGCCCCCGAGCTCCCCGCAGCATATGGCCGCAAAGCGGACGCCGGCCTCAGCGTCAAGCCCCGCCTATCGCTAGGCAATCTGGCGCTGCACTCCCCGTCCTCCATCATCGGTACTCCCTTTGACCTCTCCCCGCGCTTCGAGTACCCCTTCCCTACCCCACCGTGCGAGCCCGAAATACCATTGTCAATGTCCGCGTCGCTTCCAAATATCCGTTGTTCTGCTGCTGCTTTTAGTATGCCCTTCATTGGCGGCGCGATTGGTAGCGGAGCGCCATCGTTCTCGACTCTGCCTCGCCCTCGCGCAGGCGTGCGCGGGTTCTCTCCGACTCGTCTGAAGCTGCGCCCGCGCGAACCACCCATGCCGCCAACGCTGGCCAAAAAGCGGCGCATCACACGGGAGAACAGGCAGCGCCGCGAGAGCGCGCCGGACGCCATCTCAGAGAGCTCTGTGACTCCTACAAGATCTCCGGGCTTTGGACGTCGGACGAGCGATGATACTGTAGTGAGTGACGAGAGCTTGGAGGGAATGGAGGGCGGTAGCAATGAGTCGAAGGATGGGGTGTCTGTGGTGTCCAAGGGTGCCGATGAAGAGCTACTCATCCGTCCTGCGTCCTCTAGCAGAACTACGTCGGAGGTGACGCTTTCGGTTCAAGAAGGTCCTAAAACGCCACTTGATGCGCTCGAAGATCCTTGCTCAGCACCCTCGGAATCTCTTGCTGTCGCGTCAGCCACCGCCAATGGATCCGCAGACGAGACACATGCTGTTCCTGCCATCGGTGCACCTGCCCCCGAATCGCCTCGGACGTCTTCTCTGCCGGAGAAGGACAGCGCATGATCACAGCCGCGCCAGCGGGGTCGCCTGCAGCTCGATGTTTCCCCACGGACCTGAGCCCGGCGGCGTGCTACGGGGCTTTTCTACTTTCTCCATTACCCTCACGATCATCCCGCTTCTCTCGCGTAAACACAGCAAGGTTGAATAAACATTGTTCTTAATCTTCTCCGTCAGCACATGCATATAACAATACCTAATGCCTGGAAACATACTCTTCTCCGTCACGCTTTTCCCCTTTCGCGGCTCTCTATACACGTAGCTGCCTACTATGCCTCCACCTTCTCTCATCCACCGATCGCCATTGGTGATCTCTGGTTTGTATTTCTACTTCACATCTGTGTTCGTTACGTCTTGACGACCAACGACGCCAACGTTTGTTTTATTATTCCCACTTAACGTCCCGCCACACGCCATTCTACGGATATCCACCTCCGCTCCGCTCGCTTGCTCTGCATATCTCATCTGTCGCTACGCTTTACTGTTTTGTTTTCAGCTTAAGTTTGTGTATTGCGTTCTATGGTTTTTGGCACACACGCATCGCATCATGTATCCACGATCCGCATACACGTTTGGATTCCGATATACGTTTTGTTGAATGAATGTTAAGTTGGATGATTAGTTCAGAGGGTAGCCGGACTTGTGCGGATGAACGATGGGACGATCAGCATGTCCTCTTGATGTCCCGGGTTACCTCAGAGAACAGTGTCACAAATGGGTCAGCTGTGTGTTGAAGGGGGGGTTGACAATTACTCGAGGTACATGTTCACGTACATGTATGCATTTCAATGAAGAGTCCGCAGCAGATGAGCGGTGCGATGTGCCGCGTCAGAAGCTCGATGGAGAGTGAGCAAAACTTTGTACGCTACGACCTTCCACAGGCGTGGCGCCCACGGACGTATAATCGCCATGTGGAATCCGTGGTCTTTAGAAAGATAAATCAAACGAATCGAAGACATCCCCAATATCTAAATTCTTCTTGACTAATTCGCGGGCCATGGAAGTCTGGTCTACTCGGCCTCCTCGATGTGCCCTACAACGCTGACAGGTGACTGTACCGAGGAGTAAGGACTCGTATGCAGCAAAAACCAAAGGTTCCTCACGATTATCGAATCGATCTCTCATCAGATCGTCTCTGATCTGCACCAGAACCATGCTCGTCTCCAACCCCAACTCATTTGCCTCCTTCAAGGAGAGTGTTTTATCCCGCGTGCACAGCTCCACATATGCTGGTCCGAGCCAGTCGTTGATGTCGAGTTTCTTTGAGAGTACGATGCGATCAACAGGGTCGAGCTGAGGTTTGTGCGCATCTAACTCTTGAATGGCGCGCTCGCGGATCTCGTGGAACATGTAGCGCGACGAGATGAGCAAGAGCGCGCGCCATTGAGAAAGGGAGTAATCCAACCCGTACATGCTGTCGTGGAGAAAAAGTGCCGTGTTCGGTCACATCAGCGTACCAGTCAGTATGCATGGGCAGGAAGCCGCGCTCAAAAGTGGGACATAGGCTCACCCGTGATAGAGAAATGACAGCAAAGTATCGATTTCTTCTTGAGTAACCTCTGGCAGGAGAATCGCTGTGTCTTCCGAGTCGCCCTCCGAGACGCCGTTTACAGGCGGGCAGGAGAACATGGTTCGGAATATTTCCGAATCACGCTCCAAAAAGTACCGATGGACCTTGTAGATAATCTCCTCATGCGCAAGCTGAGGCTCTTTGATCGGAGCAGCGTCCTGCCTAATCTGAGCATGTAATGTCGATGAAGACAAAATATATATCGGCCAAGACCAATACCTTCAGGATCACTGTGCCGCCGTCAAAGAAGAATTTCGAGTTTCGCGTTTTCACGATCATCCTGTTGTTAGTGGGTGGTAATACCACGGCCCGACAGACGTTATGGATGGATAGCGCGGAGGGGCGACTAGAAGTTCGAGGTCATACGAGATAGGAGTGCGGGATGAGGGTGAGACAGCTAGAACAGATTAGAAGCGGCAAGTTATATACTCGCCAGAAGCGTGGATCGAGCGTGACGACCGTATACAGCGAGAGCATCACACACACGTGTCAGCAGATGCGCTATCATATGCGCTGATCATGAGAGCGCCCCCGTAGCTGGATAACTGTGGGTATTGCATCGTCTTCTTTCGACTGCAGCTTATCCTCTACTCAATTCACGTTCGGATTTCCGACAGTTACAAGCATGCATGAGCTGCATTATCAACCACGCAATCAGGCTAGTCGTAAGAGGGAATGCGCTGTGTACGCACCTGCACTGTTGAAACCAAACAAGCTATCAAAGTGGAATTTCGTAGCCTTCCGAGTGTGAATGAAGGATAACTTGAAGCATATCGATATTTCATCACCGATCACACATGTGACCATATTTCCGACGCTGTCTACGAGCGATTAAGGTGACCAACTTGATGAAGACATGTACTGCTCACAGCTCGGACGTGGCTGTCAGTGATTTATGGGTCATCTCTTGACCGCATCAAGGCTCGTGCTGGACTGACGCGATAGAAAGAGGAAAGACGCATCGCCATATTCAAGACAGTTTGCCGGGGACCGAGATGCGTGTGACCTGTCCGTAGTAGGTGACTCTGCGCAATGGCCTCAGTACTCGAGTCGTCCTGAAAGGAAGGCACGACGGTAAGCTCACTCACGACGGGAGCCTGGCACAAAGTGGTCACACCGACTCGCGTGACGTCACGCGTTTTCTGGCGCACTGAGCGCCCAGTATTTCCGGGTTGTCCGCGTCGATCCTCGCGCTGCATGGTGCGACCACTAGTACTAAGCATTAAACCTCAGAAATCCACAGAATATCAATCTCAGTGTGTCTACATGCCGATGATCGCGCATTGGCATTGCCGCAAGGCGGCGACGTGTTGCAAGAAGAAATTCTACATCCTGTTGCTATAGCCCAGATTGAACGCAGCCTGCCTGTGTCTGTCCGGCTGTAACATAAATGTCATCAAGCACTTAGACATAGGCTGTCTGGTACGCACCCTTTTGCACTGTTTCTGCCTGAGGGCGAGAGAGGATACAATGCCCATGCCACTTGCAGGATGACTCGTCGACGACATCCAACCTTCTCATTGGTCGGTACGTGTCATTCGTTGCTTACGCCGTTATTTGTGCTCACAATCAACGTCCATCAGAATGCAATTCACAACTGACGAGCCGAACCCTCATGTTCGCACCACGAGGTGCCTCCAGCCCTGGCCAGATGCCTTCGCCACATGCTTCTATCTAATGTTCCCGCGCTGGAGAAGCCGTTTGTGCGCCCTTTTCAAGCCATTCAATCTAGCTGATAATCCCCCACCCTTCTTTGCTCTTGCTGCCCCCATCGTATGTGTCCCGATGGATCCTCCCTCCAACCCTGGATTGCAGCCCTCCGACCCCTCTGAAGACGCCCAAATGTCACCGACACTGACATCTGAGAGTCTCGATGATTCCGAGGTCCCGTTTGCTGCGTCGCCCACGGAGAATAGCTCTCCCATATTTGGGACGGCGCGGAATGGAAGGACGACGCGGTCGCCGTCCGTGCCTGCGTTCCTTCAACCCTCGATAACGTCTGAGGCTGATGCTTTCGTCAAGAAGCTCTTCTCATCGTCATCGGTGCCAGCGCAGAAACAGGCAGCCGCATCGTCTTTCGCCCCATCGGTTGGCTCCGCTCCCACCACGTCGTTTTTCATGTTCGGTTCTTCGCCGCAGGCAACTACGCAGAAGGGAGCAGTTGCTCCGTCTTCATGTTATGACCCGGGCCGCACAAGTGGGCCTTTACTGTTCGCCTCTCCATTGTCGACAGCTGCACGGAAGCAAGCGCCCAATTCGTTCTCGTTCGATGTGCCGAGGTCAAGCCTCTTTCATTTCGGCTGTCAGGAGCCGGCACCCGTGGAAAAGCAAGCAACCGCTTCATTTCTGTTTGGCCATTCGACATCCGCTACTTCGCCATTAATGTCTAAGCTCCAGCCGGAATCGATTTCCGGTTCATCCGCTGTCCCATCGAGTTTAGCGACAGATAGGGCAGAGACTCTGCCTTCTTTAAAGTTCACGTCTTCGGTTTTTCAGCCCGAAGGCGGGTCTAGAGTCACAACGTCTACGTCAATGCGGCCCATACGCGAGGCAATAGCATCTGCGCCGACCCCGACAGCAATGCAGATGCAGGGTCACAAGTCTCCTGCGGCGTCTAACGGATCCGGAGGCACGTCATCAGATGGCCCGTCTGCAAGCATGATCAAGAGCCCTCGATTCTATCTGGACGATGGGACGATCATACTGAAGGTATGCTCCAGGATATGTTGTTCTTTTGACTCACGAACTAATCTGCTTTATAGATCAAGGGATCCTCGCCTGAAGGCACGCAGGACACCTGTGATATGCTGTACAAGGTTCATCGGTTCTTCCTCGAGAGAGACTCTGTCGTTTTTCGATCGATGTTCTCATCCCCACCTGGAGAACAAGAGATGAAGGGAACTTCAGATGACACGGCGATCCTCCTCTCTGAGGTGACGCAGTCAGAATTGGATGCATTACTTTCCTTCTTCTATAATAGGTATGTCTGTATGCTGTGTCTGGCAGCAAAGGCTGCTGTGACTGATAGATCTTCCATGCTACAGCATGTATCAACCTGATGTCGACATTTCCGAGTTGAAAGCACTACTTTCAATCTCATCGCGCTACGTGTTTGAGCAGATCCGCCAGCGCGCTGTGGAGATGCTCGACAATCACGACCCGCCACTTAGCCCGGCAGAACAAGTCGCACTCGCGTTCAAATACGACATCAAGCAGTGGCTGAAGCCTGCCTACGTGACGTTGGGAAAGAGAAAGCAACCGATTTCTGATGAAGAGGCAGCAGAGATGGGTTTCGAAGCTACCGTGCGTCTTGGCCGAGTGCGAGAGACGCTCCTCAAGCGACACCATGGGGATCTACCAGTACGTTAACGATTTATGATCTTCTTGCGCCACGTATGAACATTGGCTCTTCGTCTTTCAATCTCAGTCCCCCGAGTCTCAGGAGTATTTGATCTGGGAGGATCCTGATCCACTTGACAAGGAGATTCGCGCGTTGATTGAGGCGGAGTTCAAACTACCGCCGGATGCACCAGATACATCGGCTGAAGTGCAGTTTACAATCGGCACTGCGTCTTCATCAGAGCTGACAAGGCTGAGAAACCCTCAAAAACGTTTGCCGAGGAGGACCATCAGGCTGTAGACAGTGACGGCCCCTGGACCTGTGAGTCCCCAGTGCCGCAACAATGGCCACTAGCGATGCTAACTCGAGTCATGTGTTAGACCAATGGGGTGGAAATATTAGATTCCGTCGTGGTGAAGTCTGTCAACACCGGCTGGCTTGATATATCGGGACGTAGATTGGAGGTGGTGAGCGGGTTCTCGGCATATCTGCGCTGTGTGCATGTTGAGCCCGGGATACCTACTAAGTGCGGATGTACTACTAAACATCGGTTCGTTATTCGAAGCATTCATTCATGATCTGTGCATGCTCGACTAGGTGACATTCCAGCGATCGATGTCAGCGCAGAGAACGGCAAAACCTAAAAAATCACTGGCCCCATCTTTTCGACGTGGTTGAGTGTGGATGGGAGGGGTCAAGAATGGTAAGCTCCGAGCGCAAACACGCTGTGCAGGTCCAAAGCTCGGTGCATGTCGTGTAATCGATGTGGATTTCTCTCCCAGCGATCGAGTGGAGCTGTCCCTTAAGTACCATGGTGACGACTGGGGAAAGCTTAGGTAAGGATGTCAAGCTATGCAAGAGGGGGTTTACTGGTGATTGGTGATGCAGAAAGTAATCAGATTGGGAGCGAAGACGTCCAGCGGTATCGCAAGAGTCCGGGTGAAATTGTGTCGCAGGCGTCTTGAAGGTCCCACTGGCCGGTCAGTGCTGCATTATTTGCTCGGACTGTGCGATAGTGACGATTGTGCGATCCAGGCACCGAAAGTCTGCCGAATGAGAATTACTTGATCACCTTGATCATGGGTCGAGCAGGGATTTAAGCTGTAATGTCGGACAGGTGTGCATCAGGCATCAACGATGACTTCGATGCATTTACATGGTTTTATTTCCGAGCACACGGTCTCGGAGTATCATACGTTCAAGCTTCAAGCTTCAAGTCCGGTCATAGATGTTCAGGCTTTTCAAGCTTCAACAACAACTTCAAAGCTTCAAGTGTCAAGCTGAGACGCGTGACGCGAGGCGTTCAAGAGCGTGGCATCGCGTGTACCGTGACGTATCAATCCGACGACCGACTTGCACAACTGCTCTCACGTCTCTTGATGGTACGCGGCCATCTCACTCGCTGGTGACTCTCAGGCAGTCTGAACCATTAACTTTGATCTTTGGTCTCGCACCACTCACCAGTCAACAACAACAGCAGCAAATTGCGATCACCCCATGAACCAGCAGTCAGAAACAGCCTCACTTCTTTACGATCCGCGGGTAAGCAAAATTGCTAGTAAACACGTATACAATACGCATTAAAGGATGGTAGACAATAATGACCAGGCGGTGAGTAGGAGGGCAGTTATAGGGGATGCTATATGCGGTGATACGGGCGCGTCGCAGCGAAGGACCCGGAAAACGCGAACGATAGGAAAACCAGCTATAGGGAAGCCATCGCTGCGGACGCACACGCCAACGAGAAGAGGGCCGGACCAGCGAGAGAGATGACATCGCAGATGTCGTGGCGAGCGTGGGACGTACGCAGCGAGGACGAGGAAGAGGACTAGCAAGCACAAGTTATAAAGATAAACGATTTGTCAACCAAAAGGCTATGACACAAAGGACTGAGGTGGGCCCACAGGGCCACACGGGTGCCGGGCGTCGAGCCCGCAAGGGGATATATGCGTGCGTCTATACTTCGAATACGTATAGTGTCTCCATTTACGAGGTCGTGTCGTCCTGCGTTCAGTGGCCATGGTCGTGCTTGGAATGGCGCCTGTGCCGTCTCACCATGCCCGGCGCGGGCGTGGGGGCGACGTCGGGGACCTCGCGGCGTGCTGCGGCGGTAGCGCTTGGACCGAGCGAGGAGATGTATGCGTCCTGGAAGATATCGTCCTGCGGGCCGTCGTGGTAGCCATAGATGTCGTTGTATGCGGGCGGCATGTAGTACCCCTCGAACATCTGCGGGAGCATGCGAATCAGCGGGCATGGAGGCAGAGAGAACGACTGAAGGTAGGTGCGCACGTTGTTCTGCTCGGCTTGCATCCAGTACATGGGGTATTTGGGCCCGATCGTGCAGTTGCCGGGGTTGGCGGCTTCGTTGAAATCGGAATCCTCTCCGCATCGCCTGGGCAGCATGGGCGTGCCAATGGGAGTCGTGCTCGTCGCGCCGGTGACGTCGCAGTGGAAGCCGTTCATGTACACTGAGCGACAACAGCCAAGTGAGCAATCACGTTCCCCTTCACAGGTCTTGAGATGACTCACTCTGCTCCGCACCGCTCTTATCCTGTATGTCCATCACACTCCATCAGTATCCACTCACCAGCTTGAGAAGCCGACGTCCAACTTACGGAGTGAATCCAGAACCATGCGCACGTGCAGCCGCCGTCCGGACACGAGGGCATGTCAGCAGGGACGTCGAACGCGGTGTTAAGGTTCCACACGCAGGTGTGGTTCACGCTGAAAACCACAAAGTCATCGGGCTGCACGTCGTTCGCATCCGGCTTGTACGCAATCGCAAGCGCGCACCCGCGCACGTCCTCCTCGCCTGTCGTATGGAACTGCGAGGACGGCTGCCCCGGGCAGGGCCAGTTGGAGCCGTAGCCAGCATCGCCGCTGTGAGGCGCAGACGAGGTAGGGGGTGAAGTTAGATAGGGAGAAGGGCGAGGAGGGGAAGGGGGAGGAAGACGCACCCGGAGGAGGACGCGTACCATGAGGTGGCGCCTTTGTCGCAGGAAAGCTCGGTGTTGACGGTCTGCCCTGCGGGGAGCTCAAAGGCATCGCCCGGATTGGGCGGGTAGCCGAGGAAGCCGTGCTGCCAGCCGCATCACGAGTCAGCATCATCATCAAAATAAAAATCAGTCGCCAGCAGTTGTCCGCCATCAAATAGAGATGGGAGCGAGAGGTGAGCGGGGTACATCGAGCAGATATCAGAAGCGCTAACGAGGAGGCGCAGAAAAAAATGAACATGGGGCAGGTCCTGTTCATGCACATCTGGACAGGACACGCGGCTTGCGATGGCATCTCGCCAGCCAGGCAAAAATCAACTTTTTGCGACCATGCCGACTGTGCGGCTTTGCAGTTTGTGCGGAGGCGACGCAGCTGCCACTTCACGACCGGACCCTGCCAAGCACATTTCGATGCCCACCGCCATCTACGGATGGCACGCCTAAATCGTGATCGCGGCAGTTGAGGTGAGCCAGTATCGAAGGACCGTATGCGCGATATGACTACGGCGAACGTGTTGGTCCGCTGCCACCGATGTACGCCACCTCTCGTCGCATGGTGCATGTTCAACCGACAAAGCAAGTTGTGCACCCAGGGTCGCGAATACGTAGAAACAAAGCGTGAACCCGCCGAGGAGAAGATACTCACGAACCACCACTGATCAAACGTATAGTCGACGAGGGGAGTGACGGGGCGGTTGTCATAATTGAAGGTCTGCTGGGTGACGTTGAACCCGTACATACTCTTGTGCCACATGGCTGTCGATGATCGAAGGCGTCAGCGACCCGAGAATTCGCAGGATACGGAGCACACAGGCTGCGAGCACTGACCAATGTGCGCGGACGCCAGTGGCGCGAGCGCCGCGGCTGAGAGTAGGAGGGGCGCGGCGGAGAGCATGGTGTGGGGCGGGAGTGGGGCAAACGAGCGCGAGATCGTAAGGAATGTGGGTGCCCGGCGGGCAGGTGCGAGCGCGAGAGAAGAGGAGGGGCCTTGCAGCGAGATGGAGGAAGCGAGGGATGTAGCGGGAAGGCTATAAGCATGTTCAAATGCGTTCGGCCGGGTGAGATTCCGATTCGATTGCATTTGGATCGAACGTCCGCCGCGAGCGGTTTGCGCCCGAGCGGCGGTAGATCCCCATAGCAACATACTCCTCGACTGGAGGTTGTCCTGCCAAGCATCCATTCTGCTCGCTTTCCGCCCAATTTGCAGCGATGGTTGCTTTCTTCGGGGGCCTTGGCCTCGACGACCGTCAGCGCTCGATACACTGGGCAATTGGCGTCCTCAACGCGCTCTGCGGGGAAGCAGCCATGGCGGTGGCTGGCGCACACGATCGTTATTCGGCACCGTCGTTGACGCTTACCGAAGATAGCTAGCACTTTACACGAAGCAGGCGAGCCATCCATACGGACGCATTACAACAGCCGGTCATCGTTACGAACAGCGTGCAGGCAATAAATGAAAGTGCAGATATTGGCAATCCGACGGCATCAACATATTCGAGAGTGTTCCTGGTATCAGATCGTAAAAGGACCCCTCAAAAAGCTTGGGTAGCTGTGGAGACCGGGTGAAGGATGGATGTGTCACAACGATTGCTGGGAGGTGAAAAGCATTTGCTCAGTCGGGAACGCCCTAGATCCACCGGACGGCATTTCGACGGATGCACGAATCGAAGAAAAGTGTTCCCTTGCATGTCATTGACATTGAGCTTTGATAACTTATCTGCGGCGTCGGAGACCCGCGCTATGAGTGGAGCCCATGCAAGCGCAGACCCGCGGAGACGAGTATCGTTTGCGCAAATCAGAACAGCGTTGGCGTCCATCGATGCATCCTTCGTTTCACGAACACTCGCATTTGCGAAGGAGGCATCTCCGGAACGGAACTGTTCACGACTTATCTGCCCTCGTTGCGCTGGCCCAGCGTATGCCTAGGAGCTCGTAGAGGTGGCCGTTGCACGGAGGTAGAGATTCATATGCAAGTACGTTCTGCCAAGTTGAGTGACAGCGTCAGCGTCGTCATGGGGAAGAATAAGAGCATCCCATCGATAATCCACCAACCTGGCCCTATGTGAAGGAACCATGCCATGCTCCCACTGGCCCTTATGCACTCCAGCTGCCTGCTCATGTCGACATTACTTTCGTGACAGATTGCAAGGGATTAAGGCCGTAGGCTGTTCGCCAGCTTGACGGGCTGCAATGACACGTCCATGCGGCACATTCGCGCCCTCGCGATGGGGGACGAGACTTGGTCGATATCTGTCTGCGTTACGAGTAGCTCATGACAGCTATTTGGTCGAGCCGTCGTGCTTCGTCGCCGTCAGTCGAGAACAGCAAGTGAGAGAATTTGAAAGACCAGATCGCAGCGTCGGGCGGGCAAACCGCGCGTGAGAGGCCGGACCTTGCCGAGTGAGGGCCACTGAGTATAGCAGCTGGGTTGCCAGTTTGGCTGCTGGCTTGATTGACTGACTGACCACTTTCAAGGTCGTGCGCTCTATAGCAATACCTGACTCATGCAGGATTATTCATCTATCCCGTACTATATCTCCTGGCTACTAACGAGGGTGTTCAGAAAGAGTGCCATCAGCCCGTCGTCTACTGCGCCGGCAGACACAGTGAGATTCGTGCTCATGTGTAGCTATCGGACACTCTCGGTTCCGAACGTATAACAGAGTCGGTCCTTTAAATTAATTTGAAAGCTTGAAGCTGCCTAGTGGTTGGTGCACTGGCGAGTCACTAGAGGTCACTAGCACTATTAAACACACGGACTGCAACTCGGACTAGTCCGAGTTGCAGTCCGGCAGAGCACGATTTGGCGCCCAGTCGGGCCGGGAGATACCGCCAACTGGCACCAGTGCTTGTCTTCACCGCTGACTCACTACATCCGCAATCCCACTACGCAGCTCTTTCCAAGGCATCCCGTTATCCCTGGAGAGGCCTGATTCTGACCCTTCTGAAATCAAAAATGCCCAGATAAGGGCCAAAATAGCAAATCTTCCGACCTGCAAATCACGCATAGATCGTTCCTCCAGCAGGGTTCGTCCGGCTGAGGGAACTCTCGCAAGTCGCAAAGTCCGCATAGATCAACTTGACAGGCTGCTGTGCCTGGAGTTGGCTGCGAGTTTCTTGTTCTGAAATGTTTGTTCTGTGTGATATGTCGCAGTGCCGGGGCAACACGCGTCCAGCTTGTGCTGATGTCATTCCGCGCCGCCGCAGCTAGAGCATTGCTACTTATACAACACCTGTGGCCTGCAAGGACCAACACTCTATCTTTGCAACTTTAACTGCGACACTTTCCACGTATAAGGATGTCCACCACTACGCTGCCAGTCCTCATCGTACGTCTACAGCTTAGCTGCAGCTGCCAACCAAAGTTAACATAACCGCGACGGCTTGATAGGTTGGCGCGGGCCCCACTGGTTTGGTGCTGGGTTTGACACTCGCACAGAATGGGATACCGTTCCGCATCATCGACAAGGAGACGAAGTACCACATTGGACAGCGTGGTGCGGGTATTCAGGTAAGTGACATATATGCGCATTCATTACAGCGGTTCTCTGACCTTGCCAAAGCCCAGGACGCTCGAAGCCTACAACCTCTTGGGTGTACTACCCGACATCGTGGAGAAGGGGGTGCCGCACCGGCCTATGCGCATATACAAGCTCCCAGGAGGAGTAGAGGTGGAGAGGTCATTCTACCTGGTCCCCCCTGCCAATCCTGAGCCGTCCAAACCATACGTGAGCAACGCTCGTTCGCAACGCATAGCGCACATCTAACGAGCGTGTGGCTTAGATCAACCCTTGGTTGATAGGGCAGGCCACAACGGAAGCAATCTTGCGCGCGCATCTCGAGAAGTTTGGCCACCGCGTCGAGCTCGGCACGGAACTGCGCGGGTTCGAGCAGAGTGCGGATGGCGTGACGGTGCAGATCGCGAGGAAGGAGGGCGAGCACGAGACCTTGGAGACTGTCACTTGCCGCTGGCTGGTTGGTGCTGATGGCGGAAAAGGTGGGTTCTTGTTCCGTGAATAAGATGAGAATGCGCCCTGATCGGGACTGCTCGATGCTGACAGGGGTCGTGCGAAAGCAGTTGGGTTTAACTTTCCTCGGGGAGTCCCTCCAAGCCGAGCTGATCATCGGAGACATCGAGGTCGGAAACTTGGACTCGGATGTGAGTTCTTCACGTTACGCTATACCGAACGACACGGCGTGCTAATCGTATTTGTATTGCCAGCATTGGCACGTATGGGGTACTGCTGCCACGTCAATGTGCGTATATACGTTCCACTCTTCATACACGGGATTAAACTCTATTTACTCGCCAGGGTGGTTTTACGTCCCAGTGAGGAAAAGGGCCTGTTCTTCGTTGCCGTCTCCGGCAGCGATGTAGACTATGCTAAAATAATGGCGGATGATGACGCGCTTTTGGAAACGATACGGAAGGTGACGAATAGGAACGACTTGGAGTTCGGCGTGGTGCGCTGGAAGTCCGACTACAGGTGAGTGACTCGGTTCATTGCATGGCTGGTACGAGAACTCAACTATGGGCAGGCCAAGTGTTCGGATGGTGAACAAGTTCGGTGAGGGACGTGTGTTCCTCGCAGGAGGTGAGCTTAAACATCGTGACGCCCAAGTATGTACTAACCACTCCATAGACGCGGCACACATACACAGCCCGACAGGTGGACAGGGCCTGAACTCAGGCGTACAGGACGCGGTACGTCTTATCTCGCATCGCACCGCAAACAACGCATACTGATACCCTCCTCAGCTTAACCTGGGCTGGAAACTCGCCCTCGTCGAGAAAGGCCTCGCCACACCCTCTCTTCTATCGACATTCAACGAGGAGCGTCACCCCGTGATCAAGTTCATGCTTACCGAGACGACCGCGATTTTCCGCCAGAGGTTCGCAGCGACCGCGACCACCCCGTTTGGCCGGGATGGGTGGCAGCGTGGGCAGCACTTGCAGCAGCTCGGCGTGAATTATCGATGGAGCTCGATCGTCCGCGACGAGCGTGCGCCCGATGTTGTGAAGGAGCCTATGGATGTGTATGGCATCAATAGCGACGACGTGCCGAGGGCGGGCGATAGGGCACCGGATGCTCCGGGCTTGGTGGACGTCAAGGGTGGCGATGCGACCTCCTTATTCCGCATCTTCTCACCCAGTCGCCACACGGTGCTCATATTCTCTTCCGATGAGACCAAGGCCAAGTCTGCGCTCGACGCCCTGAAGCCGTACCCCAGAGACGTGCTGCGCTCCGTGATCATCTATCCGCAGGATGCGCAGAGCACAGCAAGCATCGGTGGCGCGGATCTCGTGCTTGTTGATCGTGATGGTTATGCCTACTCTGACTATGCGGTCGAAAAGGACGCGTTTACGATCGTTGCGGTGCGTCCGGACGGCGTCATAGGCGCCATCGCTGCGGGGGCCGAGGGATTGACGCAGTATTTCCATGGCGTCTTTTCGGCCGTGGCCTGATTATTGGCACAGTTGCCCGATTTTATGTTGCTCTCCACAGGTGAGGCTTGTCAGGGTGATAGCGATTATTTGTTTTGGAAGGAATGGTTTTCATCGCTGCATAGAGTTGTACTGTTGTTGTCAGGGCGCTGAATCGCCGTCTGCTTGATGTATAGGACTAGGGAGATCGTTGTATATAGTACAAGTGGATTCCGAACTACGAGATGAGGGGACGAAATATCTCAAGCTCAGCATCGGAAGCATGCGAGTCGGTAAACTTGCTATCAATGCCATCAGTGTTGGAGAATGGAAAGATCGCTGTGTTTGGCCGTACAGTTGATCTTTGTCGATGTGGCCTCGGCTCAGCTCGCGATGTATCAGTGTGCAGATGATCAGATCGATAAGATGAGAGCGTCGCCAGACACGCTGATAGCGCAGTTATGCAGATCACGTGGCCGCGTTTCGCATCTTCCCGGCAAGTGGCCTTACCTTCCAATTCTGCGGCCATCCGTTGCTGTGGATGTGGATGAGCCGTATGCTTTTTGTACTACGGAATCATATGCGCATCTCGCCAAGGACCTTTAATTAATGATGCTGACACCTGCAGGACCAACGCTCCCTTGTCCACACCCACAGTGCTTGTCGAGATTGCCAATGATCTCTGCGATGCCGTTTCCGGACCATATGCTCTCGTCGACGTTACAAGTCGGCTTGATGGCCTTGCTTATGTGAGGTCCGCAAATCGGCCCCCAGGTGGTCTCGCGCGGTCTACAACATGGTTCGATTTGGCTATAACAATCAAGGTGCATCACTTGATGGGCTCTCATACCGGGCAATTGGCCTGCGACTCTTCTTTTTCTCCGATGACATGTGCAATGCCGAAGGGCTTCGCGTCAGAGAAAAACGACTGCCGCGTCTACCTAGTGGTCTGATGGGTGAGTGCGAATATTCTGCGCACTGCCGACACATTGCGCGTCCAATGTGTGCCGCGAACGTGTGCCGCGAATGTGTCCAATATATACAGGCAGATCAAGTTGCAAACGGAAGCAGAATACCACTGCGGATTTTCAGAGCACACTATCCAATCCCTGACGCCCACATGTCTTCCACTTCGCATCTACCTGTTCTCATCGTACGTGCAGGGCCTGATCTATGAACACCATCGATAACTGACATTCGCCCCCGTTTGAAATAGGCCGGTGCCGGCCCTACAGGCCTAGTGCTAGCGTTGACCCTCGCACAGAACGGGATACCCTTCCGCATTATCGAAAAGGACCCTGAGTATCACATCGGCCAGCGCGGCGCTGCAATCCAGGTAAGTACAAATGTACATGTTTAGGCACAGTGCAGAGCCGATATCTGACCAGATCCAAGCCTAGGACCCTCGAAGCATACAATCTTCTAGGCGTCTTGCCCGACGTTATGGAGAAGGGGATTCCGTGGAACGAAGTATGGATCTATAAACTTCCTGGCGGAGTGGAGGTGGAAAAGAAGATCCAGATGATGCCTACATTGGAACCCACGCCATCCAAGCCCTATGTGAGTGCATATAGAACGAAAAGCAGATATAGCAATGATTGAAGCCTATTTAAGATCAATCCATGGACGCTCGGCCAAGCTCGCGCCGAGGCGATTCTGCGCGAGCACCTGGAGAAGTTGGGCAACCGCGTCGAGCTCGGCACTGAGCTGCGCAGCTTTGAACAGAGTGCCGACCGCGTGACAGCGCAGATCGTGAAGAAAAACGAAGATCTGGAGGTCTTTGAGACTGTAACCTGTCGTTGGCTGGTGGGGGCCGATGGCGGAAAAGGTACGGTTCCGCGGAGCGCCTGGAAAAAAAAATGTAGCATTGATCTTGGCTGCTCACTGTCTGCAGGGGTTGTGCGCAATCAGCTCGGCCTGACTTTCCTCGGACAGTCACTGGCATCGGAGATGGTGATAGGCGACATCGAAGTGCCGGGACTGAATCAGGATGTAGGTCCCAGCTGCGGCTTCGGAACTTGTAACAAGCTGGCACAAACTGACGTGCACTTTCATAGGGGCACTGGCACATGTGGAGTAGCCCACAAATTCCGATGTAGGTTCAACATATTATACTCATCTGTTTAGGATGTTCTCAGCTCCTGCATTCAATCAGGGTTGCGCTGCGTCCGACTGAGGAGGCAGACCTATTCAATTTCGCCGTCGTCGGCGAGGTGGACTATGCCAAGATGATGGATGATGATGATGAGATCATCAGGATAATCCGAAAGGGCAGCGATAGAGATGACCTCCAATTCGGTGCAGTGCGCTGGAAATCCGACTATAGGTCTGTAAACCAGGTTGTTCTGCGTTGTTTTTAGAACTGAAATTTGTAGGCCAACGATTCGAATGGTCGACAAGTTTGGCGATGGACGAGTTTTTGTCGCAGGAGGTACAGCAGACATTTCGAAATGAAGTTCAATGGCGGCTGAAAAATTTATAGATGCAGCGCACGTTCACAGCCCTGCTGGTGCGCAGGCAAGTGTCGTCCCTTACTATGGGAGCAGTCTTGCTGATATGCACGACAGGGCATGAATTCTGGTGTTCAGGACGCAGTATGTCTCCATTTGACCGCGCAACAAACACAATGCTCACATCTCATCACAGCTCAATCTCGGCTGGAAGCTCGCGCTTGTCGAGAAAGGCCTCGCCTCGCCTTCCCTTCTCATAACGTTCACAGAGGAGCGCCTGCCCGTGATCAAGTTCATGCTGACAGAGACGTCGTCCCTCTTCCGACAGATGTTCTCTGAGAAGTCCCAAGGCACCGACATGGAGAACGGGCTACAACGCGAATACCACATGCGGCAGCTCGGTGTCAATTACCGCTGGAGCTCAATCGTTCTGGACGAGCGTGTACCTGCGAAGGCCGAGAATGCTGTGCAAGAGCCCGAGGATGTGTATGGCATCAATAGCGACGGCGTGCCGAGGGCGGGGGACAGGGCGCTCGAGGCTCCTGGCTTGGTCAATATCAAGAGTGGCGAATCGACCTCCCTCTTCCGCATATTTTCGACGACGCGCCATACCATACTCATTTTCTCTCTCGATGACACGCAAGTTGGCCTGGCGCTCGAGGCTTTGAGCCCATATCCCACGTCTGTTATACGCTCCGCAATCATCTATCCTCAAGATGCTCCCAGCACCGCAAGCGCCAATTCCGCAGACCTCGTGCTCATCGATCACGACAGCCATGCTTACTCCGGCTATGGCATCGAAAAAAACGTGTCCATGGTCGTCATAGTCCGGCCGGACGGTGTCATCGGCGCCGTTGCGAGAGAGGGCGAAGGTGTAAAGCAGTACTTCCTCCGTATCTTTTCCGCAGTGGCCTGATTTTTGGCATACGTGTGTGGTGCCATGAGAAGGCGCTATAGCGAGGACATATGTATAGTTTTTGATCGGAAGGAGAGATTCTGTACACTGTTGCTATTTGGATTTCTGCTGATGTGTAATAAATCGCTTGACTTCATTAGTGTAAATTGCTCTCTGGGTCTTCAGAAGAAAGTGTGTGTATAAGCGATCAGGATTCTCCACGAATAATGTATCTCACAGATGAATTCGAGAAACTTGAGATGTTAGCCGGCTAGGCATTGCCAGACGCGCTGGTGGCGCAAGATATGAAGAACACGTGGCCGCGTTGCCGCACGCGCACCTCAGGCTTGGTGGGGGTTTGCGGTGGACGTCTGTCAGTGCGGAGAAAAGTCCCATTCTCATGCTTCTCGGACGTACAATGCAGACCTAGCAGTTCGCTCACACCTCGACGGCGATGGTATTCTCGTTAACGACACTCTCGGATCGCGCTCAACATTTGTGCACGCTGGCGTTTCTCCTCGGCTTCGACCTCTCCCTGCCAGAACCCGCAAAACTTGCACATCGCGCGGCTTGATATCTATCGCCGCATTGATGTACTGCGAATGACTGCTGATTTTCTCGCGGCTTCTATTGTCCGATGGGCAGTGCACGCGACTGCGCTGCCGCTCGATTCTTGATCGCTTGATTTTGTATGGGGGTCTATTCTTCCTGCTATCTTAGGAGAGATAGCGCTTCCGCCATATGATGGAGATATGGGGCCAGTGAGCCGCGTAGCGCTGCAGCACACAACTTGACAGCTTGATCCTGATCATATCGTCGACATCCCGAGTTCCAACACCGATATGTCTGCCATCACGCATCTTTCCGTTCTCATCGTACATTTCAACAGTATGATCTGTCCTGTCGTCGCTCTTTAACATCCAATTTGTCTCTTTGTAGGTCGGTGCCGGCCCTACAGGCCTAGTGCTAGCATTGACGCTCGCGCAGAACGGGATACCTATCCGCATCATCGAGAAGGACATCAAGTACCACGTCGGTCAGCGCGGCGCTGGTATTCAGGTAGACAGACTGAGCAACGCACAATGCGATTCTCTGACATATACATATGCCAGCCCAGAACGCTCGAGGTGTTCAAATTACTGGGCGTCTTGCCTGATGTCTTGGAGAAAGGTATACCTCTCCTTCCGATAAATACCTACAAGCTCCCAGGCGATGTCGAGGTGAAGACGACAACACGTTTGGTGCCTGAGCTGGAGCCGACGCCATCCGAACCATATGTGAGTATCGATGATTCGGGCATAGTCTATAGCACTGATTTGCACCCGGCTCAGATCAACCCATGGACGCTTGGTCAAGCAAACACTGAAGCTATACTGCGCAACCACTTGAAAAGGATCGGTCACCGAGTCGAACTCGGTACTGAGCTGCGCGACTTCGAGCAGAGGGCGGACTATATCACAGCACATATTGCGCGCGAAGACGGAGGACAAGAGTCGATCGAGATTGTCACTTGCCACTGGCTAGTAGGAGCAGATGGTGGAAAAAGTGTGTTTCTGTGACATGCGTGGTCTTTCATATTGATTGTAAAATCTTCGCTGTCGACAGGTACTGTACGCAGACAACTGGGCCTGACGTTCCTCGGCGAGTCACTCGCAACTGAGATAATTATTGGTGATGTTGAGGTGGGGGGTGTGGACTATGATGTGAGCATCCCATTAAATGCTGCAATATGACAGCACTTTTTATCTACGTGATTCGTGCTTCTATGGCCAGCATTGGCATGTATGGCGCGGTCCGCTCATGCCGATGTGCGTCCCTTTCACGAACTCTCTTCCCTGAGGACTCACTAAGATTCATGCTTCTTAGGGTGTCTCTGCGTCCGACCGAGGAGAAAGGCTTGTGCGCCTTTTCCGTATCCGGCCAGGTGGACTACGAGAAGATCATGGTGGATGACGAAGAGCTGTTCAAAGCGATACGGAAGGGTTCCGATAGAGGCGACCTGCGATTTGGCACAGTCCGCTGGAAGTCGAACTATAGGTTAGCGCACTAGCTGATTCTGCGTTGGCGTCGTAGCTCGAGTCTCTTTAGGCCAGCTTCAGCCTCCCTTCTCTCGACGTTCACGGAGGAGCGCCTGCCCGTCATCAAATTCATGATTGAAGAGACATCCTCCCTCTTCCGCCAGACTTTTATGAAGGCATCCGAAAATAAGGATGGCTGGCAGCGCAGGGACCACATGCGGCAGCTCGGCGTGAACTACCGCTGGAGCTCGATCGTTCTAGATGAGCGAACTCCTGCGAGTGCCCCGGATGCCGTGAAGGAACCTGTGGATGTGTATGGTATCAATAGTGACGGCGTGCCGAGGGCAGGAGACAGAGCCCCTGATGCTCCTGGCTTGGTTGACGTTCAGAGCCGCGACGTTGACTCACAACCAACCTCCCTCTTCGACACCTTCTCGCTGACTCGCCACACAGTTCTCATATTCTCTCCCGACGACACAGAGGCTGGCCTCGTGCTGGAGGCTGTGAGGTCCTACCCGAGGGATCTCGTACGGTCTGTGGTAGTATGCCCGCGTCATGCTCTCGCCACCTCGAGCATTGGCGGTGCGGACCTTGCGTTGATAGATCGTGACGGGCATGCCTACTCTACCTATGCCGTAGAGACCGATGCTTTCACGATCGTCGTAGTTCGGCCAGACGGAGTCATCGGTGCTATCGCGACAAGTGTTGAAGGTGTGAAGAAATACTTTCGCGACGTTTTTCTGCGTTGGACTGAGGTTGAGGATAACCATTGGATGAAGGAGCTTCTTTTGAGGCAGAAATAAGATGATCGATCAGAACAAATCCTTATAGGTGCTGAGATGAATGAGTCGGATGTTTGCTCGCCGTATATCCCGTTATTGTATAGTTGTGCTGAAGTTCGCTTACTTTCTTCGTTGCCATATGAAGCGCGCGGTATCATGTTCATTGTTATAAATCCTCCCAGTGAAGTTCAAGCTAGCTCAACATCTGCAACTTTGGCTTCGTCTCTCCTTGTTGAGATTCCCAGCCAGCCCGCACAGCGGCCAGGGATTCGGGAGTCGCCCGCACTCTAGGAGATGACTCCACGGGGCCAAACCGATGGCCCGT